AGCATCTATAGATGCACAGCTGTTCTGAGATGGCACTTGCATACTAGATCACATTTTACTATACTTGGACAGGGAAGCGTCTCAGGAGACACCGTGTGTCGGGTGCACCGGGCACCGAGGGGGGAGCAGGGAGCCAGGGAGCACGAAAAGGCGGTGTGATCTCTCGGCACCCCCTGGGGGCCCTGCCTTGAGTGCTCGTGTGAGGTCTCTCCTCGCGGCCTGCCCCTCCTGGAGAACCAGGTTCTCAGCACCGCGCATGCATCTGCTCGCGCCACGAGCTCTGGGCGCAAAGACCAAAGTTGCATGCACTGCTTACGACGATCCGACGGCGACGCCGCCTCCCCCCCCCACCAACCAGTTTGCGCGGCAGGTAGCGGGGCCAGTTCGAGGCTGAGGGCGTGGGCGTGCGCCTAGACACGGAAGACAGCGTACTTCCGAGAGTCGGCAAGGCGCGGTTTTCTTGTTTGACTTGGCGATTTGAGGGACCGGGCATCCCGACTCGCTCCTGCTCCTGCTCCTCGCTCCTCGCTCGGTGAGCTGTCGCCCACCAGCGCGCGGCGACCGCGCGCACACCGTGCCCGCCGGCTCGCCGCCCTCCTCACCACCCGTCGGCGCTGTCCGCAGGCATGTGAGTCAGAACGGCGACCGCGCAGCGCGCACGGGTGTCTTGCTCGCCACCACCCTCTCGCCCCCGCTCCGTGACCGCCGCCGCCCGCGCCACCGCCGCCGCCAACACCGCCTCGCGCCTCGCGCCTCGCTCTCGCCGCCCCCGCCGCCCGCCCTCGACCTCGCGACGGCGTCCTTCTGGGGATCTGCGGGTGGCTTGCCCGCCTCGCCGCCGCCCCCACAGCGTGACCGCTTCCGCCGCCCCCACAGCGTGACCGCTTCCGCTCGATCGGTGAGCCGTCGCCCACCACGCGCGCTCTCACGGCGACCGCGGGCCGCTCATCGCCTCCGCCACGTCGCAGGTGTTTGATCTGGGCAGGAAGCGGCGCTGGTGACGGCAACCGGCAGCCACGTGCACGGAGTGCTAAGCGAGGTGCCTGTGTCCAAGTCTGAGTAGCCCGTGGCCGTGAGTGGCGTCAGGGGCAGTGTTCTGTGACTGTGTCCTGTGCGTGCTGTTCAGTGTGAGTCGGTGCAGCGGTGGGCCTGCTGCCGTTGCCACACGTGAGAGCCGCTGTCCGTGCCCCAGCACGTTGCGCGGAGAGGCTATAGGGCGCCCACCCACGAGTGCTCGGGTGGGCGCGCCGCGGCTGTGCGAGTAGTAGCGCAGCAGCCGCGGCGCACAGCCGGGGGCACGGCCCGCCGCGCAGCGCTCGCCACACCGGCTTTTCGTTTTCTTTTTTGTTTTTATACGTGCGTGTATTTCTTGAGATCCACACGCTGTTCAAAATATGCGCGCGTCTTCTGAGACACGCGCTGTTCACAGTATGCACGGCGCGTCTTTTGAGACAGCAACGCCAATCGGAGATGCCGCGAGCAATTCGGGATGCGCGGAGCAACTAATATAGACTCGCGCATCGGTTAGGATGCTCGAGCATACCGAGGACAGCGAGCGTCTAAGTAGGAGGCCTACTAGACGCACTCTAATCCAGAGACGCATTCGGTAAACAAAGATGGGGGGGTCGCCCCCCCAGACGTTATAGAGGGGGTTTTCTCTCTGTATATGTACTCCTCGAGATCTCTCCAAATCTGCCCTCTGATTCCGTGATTATTCGGGAAGTTGGTAGTATGAGCGAGTATGAGCGCCGGGGCCTCGTTTTCGCGCTGCGGCGCGGCGCACGGTGCGCCTCCGGGGGCCCCCGGGCGCTCCCCCAGGGCCCCAGTGAAGCAGTGATTCAGACGAGTGAAGCGCCCCCCGCATATGGATACCCTCTAGGGGCCCCGCGCTCCCCCAGGGCATCTCACTGCTGTGAACACACCCCGAACCCACATATGGGGGCTAGAGCATATTGAGTAAGTAAGGCTCTAGATGTGGGGCCCCACAATGCACAAAGTAAAAGCCGCGTACCAGGTCGTACGTGGTTAGCTATTCCGTACTGCACTCGTCAACATACTTGATATTCCCGCGCCTGGTCTTGTTCATCTTGGCGGCCTGGCCTCGTGTGATGCGGATACAGTGCCGCTTCTTGGTCGCAGTGCGCGCGCAGCTCGCCCGGGCGGCGTCGTTGAAGGTGGACGTCATGGTGCAGACGATGTAGGCGTGCCTGCGGCCGCGTGCGGTCGCCTGCGTGTCAAACAGGTTCTCCGGCGGCGGCAGGAGCAGCGGCGAGCCGCACGACATGTGCGCATTGGGCACGTGGCCCTTGTGAAAGTGCCACTGCGCCGCCCGCGGCGACGCGTTGCACGCGGGCCAGTCGAGGCCGTTGGCGCAGGCCGAGGCCCACTGGCACGCGTGCACAAACATCGGGAGCGGCTCGCGCGCTCCGGCGGCCGCCGTCGCGGCGCTGAGGTTGGAGCAAGCCACTGAGTGCGGCAGCAGGTCAAAGAGAGTCTGCCAGCCCTCCGCCAGGCGCGGCGACCCGCCCACCGAGGGGTCGGAGACCATTAGGCCCTTTAGCTGCGCGTGTTGCAAGCCGGCGTAGTGCGCCGCGAGCGCATACGCGTACTGTGGGGGGGAGGCGGGCGAGCGTCAGGAAGTCCGAAGGTCGGTGGCGGCAGCTAGCGTCTGGGCGGTGCCTAGCGAGGCTCTATCGGCTATCTTGCGAGCAGATGTGGTGCGGGCTTGGCAGTCGGAGGGCTCTCGGAAGCCACCTGGTCTGCCAGGATGGATGGCCAAACCCGCTGCGTCACGCGCCTCATGTAGTAGATCCAAGTGCGCGCGATTGCCTCAAAGGCGGGAACAGTGAGCAGGTACGGGACGCCGAGCGCGTAGTGCGCCCGCGCCTCGGTGGCTGTGATGTTGGGGCAGATGTCGGCCGTATCACCGGAGCAGATTTGGCCGAGCCACCGGTCGCCGTAGCCGTACATCTGAGCCGTCGGCAAGGCGGGCATGCGGCGGGCGCCGCCCCACGCGACGAAGCCATCCGAGTCCATGATGATTACTGCGTCGCGGCGAGGCAGGCGGATGGTCTGGACGAAGCGCAGCAGCAGCCACGGCTTGAGGATGTAGCCAAACCGCTTCGCGAGCGGGTCGGTCGGTGGCGCGTGGTGCGACACGGAGAAGAGCTCCTCTAAAAGTGTGTGCGCGTCGGCGTCGGCGTCTGGCGCGCAGCCACAGAGCATCGAGTACCGCATCCAGGTGGGAGCGCGCACAAGCGCCGTTTGGCCCACCGCGACGAGCCTGGCAAGGTGAGGCGGCGGCGGTGAGCGCGGCATAGGTGAGGGCAGCAGCCGTGAGAGAGGCGACCGTTACGGCGGCGACGTGAAGCAGGGGAGCGAGAGGCAACAGCGGAATAGGAGGCAGCAGGGAAGCGAGAGGGACGCAGGGCGTGAGTGTCTCAGCGAGCCTGGTCAGGTCCTTTGGCTTGCAGCCGGACGGCACGAGCATGTGGATCCCCCGAGCAGGCCCGTCCAGCAGCGGGGGCACGACGTCGGTCGCCGCCCTCGGCCCGGCACGCTGGGCGTGCTTGTCCCGGGGCATGGCGCGAGGCGCAGGTGGGTCCCTCGCGGCGCCCGGCGAGCGAGATCGCCGAGAGCCACCACTAAGGCCCGCGCCTCGGCCTCGTCCGCCTCGGCCTCTGCCAGCCGGGCGGCTGTCCGCGAGGCCTCCGCGGAGAGTGGCGGGCGCATTTTGCGCCTCGAGCCTCCGCTGCGATCGCGCCTCGGCGCCCTGCACGAGCGAGTCCATTCGCGTGCTCCTGGCCACGTCGAGGACTGTCTGGCTCTGCATTGCTGTGTCGCGGGCGGCGCTGCATGGGCAGGTCACGTTTGAGGACCAGCGGGAGAGGCAGCGTACGTGACCGGACCCCGCGCAGGAGACGACGGCCTGACAGCCCGTCGCGACCCACACGACGCCGCCGTGGCAGCCATAGGTGACGCCATAGACGCAATCCCCGCCCTGGTGCCCCTCCCTGCCCCCTTCGCTGGAGATCTGGCGGACGAGGGAGCACTCCGCCGCAGCCCGAGCCCCGCCAGGCCGCGACAGCAGCCAGAGCAGGCCGAGGCGGAGCTTGGGCGGCAGGGAGCAAAGGCGACCGGGCGGCGCGGTGCGCATATAACACACATTCAAGGCAAGCCGCGTTTGGCGCCGATATCTACTCGTAGCGCCAGGAAAATGTTCGAGCGGACTTCTCAGCCTTGTGATCTGTGATCTGTAAGGGTCCGCCCGCAGGCGCATTTTGTATACCGAGGCGGTGCCCGGTGCCGAACCTGGGCGAGGGTGGTGGAGAGGGCGGTCCGTCGGCGCCAAACCACATCCCGCCGAGGCGGGCAGGTTCCACGCGTTCCCGGATTGCCCTATTGGAGGTAGGCCGCTCGTCTAGCCAATCAGCCTTAAGCGAGCGGCCTGGCCGTTGGAATGGCCGAGTTTGGTGTGGCTTGCGTCCTCGCATCGTTCGTGGTTACAAGCAGCGTTATGAATGAACACGTTATCATCCACGACACACGTTCGTCGGGAGGGGGGAGGTCTGTGACCTACCTAATTGTCCGGCATGCGAGGGCATGCTCGGCCGTTCGGAGTCCCCCCTTTCGTGTCACCATTCTCTCGGTTAGCGTCTGAACTTGACGGGTGGCTTCCGGGGCGATTCCTGCCTCCGCTTGCGTTGGCGCTGTCGCTGGGCTTTCGGCGCCGACCTCTCGTCCTCATCAACATCATGCTGCTGGCTCGTCCCTCTGCCTCTCCCTGGCTCATCGAATCGCTACGTTCATGCTCGAACCGCTCTCTCGTCTCTCCTCGGCGGCCGGGGAGCGGGGTGCCTCTTCCTCTGGCTGCTCTTCCTCTACGTCCATCACTGTAAAGTCGTCATTTGTTTGGCTATCGTCATCGTACACGTACTTGCCGGGGTTTTCTAGAGATGCCCCCCGCCCCCCCCTGGCCACCTGCCCTCCCCCCCGTCGGGGGTTGTACCAGCTTCCAGCTACCACGCGTAAACAGAGGGCGAATTCCAAAGAAAACACATTGTCAGGCGCACGAAAGACTCACATCATCACAACTGTAGCACAAAAAAGAGAGGGGCTATACTCGATACTCGACGCCGTGTCCGGTCTCGGTCAGCGTCTGAGAAGAGATGGTGGGCGGGAGGGGGTGGGTGGGCGTCGACCAGCGTGGCGCAACACCGCCGTGCCAGATGTCCCTCAGGGAAGTGATCGAGAGCTCCTAGAGCCCCCATCTTGCGCCGCCCCGCGTGCGCCGCCTGCGCCTGCCCCACCCCTCTCCCACCCCCTCTCACGGAAGCGTCGAGGGGCCTGCTGCTGCTGCTGCCGCCGCCGCCGCTGCTGCTGCTGCGGCGGCTTCTGTTGCTGCTGCGGCGGCGGCGGCTGCTGCCCCTGGTCACATCTGGGCGGACGATCCGAAGAGGTTGGAGAAAGTGCTCACCATGCCCGCGATGCCCGACTCGACGAGAGTGCCGACTACGCCCGCGCCTTGCGCCTCGCCGGCCGCCGCCGAGCGCGGCTGCACGAGCCGCAACAGGCAGAGGCCGAGCTCGTGCAGCGTCGCACGCGTGACGCGGGTGAGGGCGGTGAGCGAGGCGTACCTGCAGAGGGGATGTCGGGGGGGGGGGGGGGGGGCTGTCTCGTGCGATGTATTCCGAGCACCGCGCGAGCACACGGGGCGCGCGAGTACCACGAATACCGCTGAGTTGGGGGGGGGACAGGGGGAAGAGGTCTCCTCTCGAGCGCTCGTCCGGGTGCACGGGTGGTTTCAGCCCTCTAGCGAGCCGTGCCCCACCCTAGTGTCGGTCGAGCAGAGCAGCGCTGCGTGCTTGAGCAGCGCGACCGCCCGCTCGCCGCTCACCTGCCGACAGCACCGCGGGGGCAATCTCGGCCGATCTCGCCCAATCCCGGCCAATCCCGGCCAATCCCGGCCAATCTCGGCCAACCTCGGCCGATCCCTTCCAATCTCGCCCGATCTCGCCGCTCGCCTGCCGAGGCACCGCGGCGCCGCCGAGCGGGCTCTGCGCGCCCGAGCCGGGCGACTCTGGCTCCTCGTACCGCCGCTCCGACTCGTCGTCGAGCTGCTCCGCCTGCGGGAGGGAGGGCACGAGGGCGGCGGCTCTGGGCCGTCTAGAAGGAAGACAGCAGCGGCGTGGAGACAGCAGCGGCGTGGAGACACCAGCCCTTGCGGAGACACCAGGGTGTGCGTGGCTCCAAAACACACCGCGGTGTGCGTGGCGCCGCTGGAACGCATCTGCAGACAGCCGAGCGCGTGCCTACTCGAGCGCTAGTGACGCGCGCCGGGATCTGTCCTCCTTCTCTCCCTTTCCTCGAGATGAGGGGAGATGGGGGGAGATATGGGGAGATCGATCGTCCACATCTAGGGCTGCTGCCATCCGAATGTCGAGGAGCGCGTCGAGGAGCTCGACGAGCAGTTGCAGCCGCGACACGATCGCGCCGAGGTCGTTGAGCGGCCCACGATCGATCTTTATGCGGGCGAGGGGGCGCTGGACCATGTACTTGGCGATGGCGGCGAGCTTGAGCGCGCGCCTGGGGGTGGGGGGAGGAGGGACAGTCAGGTCTGGGGTTGGGGTTGGGGTTCAGGGTTAGGGTTGGGGTTCAGGGCTGGGGCTGGGGCTGAGTGTCCGGTGAGGGCTGCGGGTTTGGGTCGGGGGGGGGAGGGGGGGGGGGTGCGGGGTTCAAGGCGAGTGCTAGGCGCGCTAGGCTGGAGCTGCTACGGCACTGCAGCGCGCGCCGCGACTCGAGCAACGCGTCGCACGCGGCGGACGTCGGCGACGAGTAGAGCGTGTCGCGCCCGCCCAAGCCCGCCGCGTCCAGCGCGCGCGTGTTCGCTGCCGCCGCCGCCGCCGCCGCCGACCCCGCGGCGGGCGTCGGCAGCAGCACCGCGCCAATGAGCTCCTGTGCCTGCGGGAGGAGGAAGAGCGAACGCTGAGCCCCTCCTTTTCCAGCGGCCCGCCCCTACCCCTCCGCAACTCCTGTCGCCTGCGCGAGCGCCTCGCGCATCGGCGCGTCCCGCCGCATCTCGGCCGAGAGAGCCTCGACGCGCGCGCGACACTCTCGCAGCTGCCGCCGCGCCTGACGTGTGCCACACCAGGTCACGTGCCATGTCCCATCACACGCTACCTTGTCTTGTCGCGCAGCTGCCGGCGCGCCTCCACCGCCTCCTCCTCCGCCCCGAGACTCTCTCCGAGCGGGTCACTCGCCTGGTCAGCTCAGGACTGAGGAGTCAGCTCATTGACTGGTCGAGAGGGCTGCCACCGCCAGAGCTACTCGCCGGCTCGGCGTTGGCGACGCGCGAGGGGGGCGTGTCGCGCTCCCGCTCGCCGGAGTCCTCGAGGATTGCGGATTGCCTGGCACCAGCCACCCAGTCTCACCAACGGAATCGCACTCGATGTGATCCCCTCGAGGGTCTAGGAAGTGTCTAGGAAGTGTCTAGGAAGTGTCTAGCAAGTGTCTAGGGTTAGGACGGATGCCAGCCCGCGATCATCTCGCACGGGAGCGGCGCGTGCGACTCGAGCAGCGGCCACTTGGCCTTGCACTGCCAGCAAAAGTGCGCGCCTGTCGGACATGTCCCGGACATGTCATGGGCGTGTCCAGGACACGCCCCCCTCTGCCAGCGAAAGTGCGCGCCGCAGGCGCACGCGACGTCGAAGGCGGCGACGGAGGTGGCCGCGGCGGCGGGGCGCTGCAGCTCGGCGACAGTGCAGTGGATCGCGTGGCCGCAGTGCGTGGGACAGGTCTGCCAGCAGGCCGACTCGTCGAGGAAGGTTGCGACGATGTTGTTCTCGTACTCCTCCCGCTCCGCCTCGGTGAGCAGCGCCTGCAGCGTCCCCTCCTCCACCGGCGAGTACCTCGGCGCCGCCCCCTCGGCGTCGCCCTCCCTCGCCGGCCTGCAGAGCGGCACCTGCAGAGCAACCTCCCATAATCTCCCCCAATCTCCCACAACCTCCCACAACCCGGCCTGCAGTACGCACCTGCCCTTCGTGCACCCCTGCGCGCAAGTGCGCACGCAGCCTCGCCTCGCCCCCCACCGAGTCCTCCTCGAAGGCTTCCGCCGCCGCAGCCGCCACGCCGCCGCCCGCACCGCCCTCGCCCGCCGCCGCCCCGCCGCCCTCCCCGCCGCCTGCGCCGCCGCCCGCGCCGCCGCCCGCGCCGCCGCCCGCGCCGCCGCCGCCCGCGCCGCCGCCTGCGCCGCCGTTCGCTCCGCCGGTTGCGTCGGCGGGTGGCGCGGCGTCGGGCGGTCCGGCGTGGAAGGGGGCGCCGAAGAGAGTGGCGAGGAGGTGCGGGTTCGCGTCGAGGGCGTTGACCACCTCGCCGTACGACCACTTGAAGTGGCGGAGCAGCGCGATGGCATGCGGCCTATTGTTGCCACCGGTCGTAGTTGAGGGGGGTGATGCTCAGTCACGGCAGCAGCGCGGTGGCGTGCGGCCGGTCAAGGCCCTCGACACGCGCGCGCACGCCGGCCAGCTGGTCAGTGAGGTGCCCCTCGACCATGTTGTGGCTGTACGCCTGCGCAACCTCCGGCACGCCGAGGGTCGACCCGGACGAGGAGCGCCGCAGCCCGCGGATCGCGCCCTGCCACCCCGCCCGCTCGGTCTCCGAGACGGGGGCGATGGCGGCGCGCTCGAGCCCAAGGTTGCGCGCGGTCTCCACCCACACGAGCGCGCGCGACGGCAGCTCCGGCCCGCCGTAGGGAGCGGGCAGCCTCGGCTCGACGCGAGGGACGTACCTGGCGGGGGAGTGGCTGATGGCTGATGAGCAGTGAGCTGCTTGACGCGTTCATTAGTGATCAAGGCTCGACGCGAACTACGACTGGTCCAGTAGTTGAGGTACCACCAGTACATACCTGCGGTCGGTGTCGGTGCAGGCCGCGCGCAGCAGCGCCTCTGCCTGCGGCTCCTGTTCACAGCCGGCCGTGTGAAGAGGCGCCGTTCACACACTCACAGCAGCAGCGCCTCTCCCCCCGCGGCACCTCGAACTGCGACGGCGAGCCGGCGGGCGCCGCCGCCTGCGGGAACTCGCGGAAGACGCGGTCGCGCAAGTTGCGGAGGAAGGTGAAGGCGTCGGGCTGGGCCATCTCCTTGATGGTGACTGCCATGAAGAGCAAGCCCTGCGTCGGGAGCAGGTTGTAGTGCATCATGCCGAGCTCGGTGAGCACGGTCAGGTCGCTGTGCCGTTGCAGCTGCGCCGACCGCACGAGCTTGTCGAGCAGCCGGTGGAACTCGCTGTCGTCGCAAGACGTCGCGAGGGCGGGGTGGGTGCACGACGCGCGCCGGCCCTCCCCGCCGAGCGCAACCACGGCGCAGAAGCGCACCGCAGGCCGCCAGAGACCCTCGCACACCGCCGCCGCCTCGGCCGACCGCTTGACGCCGTCGTCGACGCGGCGAGACGCCTCGGGGCGGGGTGAGGCGCGGGCGTCTCAGAAGTGGTGTCTCGGAGGTGTCTGGGAGGTGTCTGCGAGGTGTCTGGGAGGCGTCTCGGAGGCGTCCCCGAGGTGTCTCTGGGAGGTGTCTGGGAGGTGTCTGCGAGGTGTCTGGGAGGCGTCTCGGAGGCGTCCCCGAGGTGTCTCTGGGAGGTGTCTGGGAGGTGTCTGGGAGGTGTCTCGGAAGGTTCTCGGAAGGTTCGCCTCCGAGAGGACGAGCGCGTGCGCCGAGGCGCCGTGCTGCAGCAGCAGCCGGACGCAATCCCAGTGCGCCCCCTCGGCGGCGTGCTGCAGCGCCGAGCGGTCTCCCACATCAACGTCCTCGAGCGAGACTACCTGCCCCGACTGGAGCAGCACCTCGAGCACGGAGGCGTCGCCGCGAGCCGCGGCGAGGTGCAGCGGGAGGGCGCCGGAGCGGTCGGACTGGTTGATGTTTGCGCCGCTCTGCACGAGCTCGTGCACCACCTCGGCCGACCCGCCGCCCGCGATCGCCAGGTGTAGCGCGTTGCCCGACGTGCCGTCGATGCCTCCGTTGACGCCAGGGTGGCAGCTCGACATGCACTTGGAGTTGTTGGCGGTGCGGAGGGCGAGGGCGCGGCGCAGCGCGGCGAGGTCGTTGTTGACGATCGCGTGCGACACCTCGCGGTTCTGGAAGCTCGCAACCGGGCAGCAGCGGAACGGCGCGCACGCGGCGAGGCAGCGGGCGGCCAGCGAGTGCTGCCGGCTGCACTCGGAGGCGCGCGCGCGCTGGCAGTCGCCGAGCGTGAGGGACGGCGTGCGCTCGCCCACCGACGCCCCCTGAGGGTGGATCTGGGTGTAGTCGGAAATGTTGACGGTGCGCATCGGCGAGAGATAATACCGCGGTAGATCCACAGCCCTGATCGCGCCGGCTCCTTGGGCCTCATTAAAAGAAAAATCAAATACTTTTTCGTTTTGCTGTTCGTGTGCGGCGGCGTCGCAGGACGAGGCAGAAGAGAACGACGCGACAGAGGAGGAAGTGACAAGGGAGAGACCGACGAGAGTGGGACGGCCGCGAGGTGGCATGAAGGTTGCAGCGAGAAGCGGCGAGAGACTGCGAAAAGAGATACGAAGAGGCAGACTCCCCAGGGTGGGCGACGGCTAGCGCACCACACTCCTCTCCTTAAAATCCCTGTGTGGTGGCGGCGTGCCGTTCTCCCATCCCTCCCTTGGGTTGTGTGTTTTCTTTCTTTCTTTCTTTGTTCGTGTGCGGTGTGTGGGGGTGTTGGAGCGCACTTGTCCAACTTTTGTTTTTTGCGTGTCAACCTGCGGTTAAGATTGCTTGTCAAACCACACCCCAGAGTGAGTCTATCGGTAAGCGCGGGTTAGCGCGGGTTCCACACGGGTTAAGCCGCACTAACCCAGCACGGGTCAGCACGGGTTAGTCTCGGGTTACCATAACCCATGCTGACGTATGCCCCCCAGCCGCATGGGTTAGTGCCGGGTTAGTGCCGGGTTAGTGCCGGGTTAGTGCCGGGTTATGGTAACCCATTCTGACCCGTGCTGACCTGTGCCGGGTTAGTGAGCACTAACCCGCGCTAACCCGCGCTTACCGGACTCACCCCAGACGGCTGGGGAGCCCGAACCCAGATCGAGGTTACGCCATGAACCGTCTCCTGGTGCTTCTCGTCGCGTTCCTCGCCAGCGCGGTCGCGTTCGTTCCGCCGATGACCGCGCGCAGCCTGTCGGCAGTCGCAGCGCCCGTCACGCGCAGCCACGTTGAGATGGGAAGGGGCGACAAGCGGACGGCAAAGGGTGCGCCTCTCCGCTCCTCCCACGCGAGCAGCATCATCCGCCGCCTCAGCTGCCGCCCACTTCACATCCGCTGCTTCTCCGTGCCCTCTCCAGGCAAGCGCAAGGCAAAGAGCTTTGGCAACGCACGCCCTCGCAACGGTGAGCTCCGCAAGCGCGCTGCCTCGAACACCGAGTGAGGGTCTGGCGAGACTGCCGCGCCGCAGCTCCTCCTTCTCTTGTGCTGGCCACCAGCTGTGTACAACCGCCGTGCCGCCGCTCTCGTGAGCTGCTGATCCCCAATGTGAGCAGTTCGAGGAGAGAGCTCGCAGCTCGCAGCACGATCTGCCCAAAAAATATATATGTTATATCGTCTGCGCGCCATTTTTTAAGTTTTCAATCCTTTCAACCAAAATATAAAGCGCCTGGGCGGGCGCCTGTCTACGGCGTGGACGGCAGCGGCCGGTCACGGCACACGAATCAGCCGTGTGCACGCATAGGTGGCACACAACGTGTGCGCGGCTCCGCGGAGTGTCATTGCCCCCTCGCCGCCAGAGCCCCTTGCATCGCCAGCAGGGCCTCCGCTCGTCGTCGCCGCCGGAGCGCACAGCCGCGCGCAAACTCTAGCCTTTGAGAGGGCGCGAGGGAGGGGGGAGGGGCAGCGAGGAGTGAGCGGGCGGCGGCGCGGCTCCGCCCGCTCACACACCTCTACCTCGTGCCGGCCATCGCGCCGCCACAGCTCGGCTACAGCTCGGCTACAGCTCGGCTGCATCTCGGCTACATCTCGGCTGCATCTCGGCTGCATCTCGGCTGCATCTCGGCTACATCTCGGCTGCATCTCGGCTGAATCTCGCGCCTCTCCCGCGTATCAGCCATCCCCAGCGCCGTCGCGCGCTGGACAGCGCTCAGCCCGTCGCAGGCGGCAAAGGAGCGGAGCTGAGAGGAGGGCGGAGGCGGAGGCGGTGGTGGAGGCTGGAGGGGAGGGAGACGGAGAGGAGGAGGAGGGAGTGAGGAGGATCTGGCGAGTCACCTGCGCGAGGGCGGCAGTCTCGTCGGGCACGCCCCACGCGCCGTAGAGACGCGCGAGCGACGGCGCGGGGGGAGCGTCGAGGCTGAGGACACACAGCTCGTCGCGCAGCCGCCTGGTGGGCAGAGTCCGAGACGGTTCAGGGAAGGCTCCGGGAAGGGCCCAGCTCGAGGCGGAGCACACACGCCGCGCAGCCGCCTTGGTCCGCTCGCCGAGCGCCCTCGCCTCGGCTCCATCTCGGCTCCTCTCGGCTCCATCTCGGCTCCATCTCGGCTCCTCTCGGCTCCATCTCGGCTCCATCTCGGCTCCATCGGCTCCTCTCGGCTCCATCTCGGCTCCTCTCGGCTCCATCGGCTCCTCTCGGCTCCATCTCGGCTCCTCTCGGCTCCTCTCGCCTTGTGCGCTCCTCGAGCGCCCTCGCCTCGAGCTGCCGCCGCACCCGCAGCAGCGTCGGCCCGCTCACGTTGCCCTCGCCACCCTCGCCCGCCTCGGCGTCCTCGTCCTGCGCTTCAGAGCCCCGCGTCTCGTCGCGCACGGCGGTGACGCCTCTCGCCTCGTGCCACCGCCCCTGCTCAATCTTGGGGATGTGGAGGCGGCCGACCGCGACGACATCGACGCACACACCGACGGCCTCCTTGCGCACCTCGCGCACCTCGAGCAGGCTGGTGGTGGAGAGCGCGTTCTTGTGCGGCGTGACGAGCAGAGAGCCGATCACGCCGTCCTTGGCCGCGTCGAGCGCCGCGAGGCCCTGTGTCCGGGAGGGAGCGCCGTCGAGAACGCAACGCCGCGAACACTGCGGGGGAGCGAGGAGCGCACCTCTGCGTGGTTAATCACGAGCCGTCTCGACTCGCCCGGCAGCAGCAGCTCTGCCATGGGCATGTGAACAAGCGGGAGCGCGTCGCGCCCGGAAGCGAGAAACTCCGGCGCGCCCATGAGAGGGTGTATTTCACGTTCGCGAGGGCGAGACGCGGTCCCAACAGGCCGCAGCGGCATGGGGAGGAGAGCAGCACAGGCGAATGACATCATGTGAGATGCAACGAGGAGCCGACACTGCTCTCTGTCCAGCCGTCCAGTCGAACCTTGAAGAATTCTAGCAGGGTGGTTGAGGGGTTGAGGGTTGAGGCCCCCCCTCAACCATCTGGTTGACGGTTGAGACCCCCCCTCAACCCTTTAGTTGAGGGTTGAGGCCTCCGGGGCCTATTCACAGGCTCGAGCGTGATCACAAGATAAACTGGAAGAGCCTGCCGCCCAAAAAATCGCTTCGCCTGCGGCGCGCTCTTGCGCTCCTCGCTTGCGCGCGCCTCTGCGTGAGCCGCAGCGCACGCACCGCTCCCCTCGCTCTCGATCGACGAAAGCTCGAGAGAGGAGGACCTGTCACGTCTCAGCTGGCGCTTTCCGCTTTGGCCTTTGCCGCAGCGCGTCCGTGCACGTTCGTGCACACGATCGGCCAGGAGGAGTCGCTCGACATCGTAGGGGTGTCCCCTCAACCTGTGACCTGACCTCGCTGTCGTGTTACGTGTAGTCTGTACACTGTGGCGAACGGTCAGCGAGTCTAGCGAGAGGTCGCGGCGTGTGGTCCCCACGTTCGTCGTCGAGAGACGGTGTCCACGACAAAAGAGATATCACACCGCACCACCGTGTTAGGTGTTACGGCGTGTTGCGTGTAGTCTGTGTACACTGTAGCGAACGGTTAGCGAGTCTAGCGAGAGGACGCGGCGTGTCCCCAGAGGTCCCGCGGGCCGCGCGCGCCCCCGGCTTGACTTTTTTACCCGCAGCGCGAGCGCACGCTCGGCCCACACGCGGCGCCGCGGCCCGCCGGCCGGCCGGGCGCGGCGGCGTACTCTCGCCTGCCGCCGGCCCGCCACCTGTTAGCCTTTGAAGAAAAATACCGAGTGACACTACACACACGTATACGCGGATGGAAAATGCCTCGTGGATTATGCCATGAGACATGCGACACGACAGAGTGTTGTTCAAGAGTGCAGAGTCGAGACGGAGAGTGTTTTGTCCTCCCGCATCGCGGGCCAATATCTGGGTAGGGGACAGTTCGATTGCTGCGGTTGTGACGCAGGGTCCAACGGGCCGCTCGCTGCCGGCTCGCCAAGAAAATCGCAGGGGCGCGCCTCCTCGCGCCTCTAATTGCGAGCTGCTAATTAGCGCCTCACCAGCCATCGCTGGGGGCAGGCACGGCGGCCAGCGGGACGACGGCCGTGACGATCGCGCCGGGGCGGAGGTTGGGCGACCGCGCCAGGATTTTGGCCGCGATGGCCGGCGCGTCGGCGTCCGCTGCGGCCTCCTCGACGGAGCAGCTCTGCGTGGACGGCATCGAAACGAGCTCAAATGACTTGAGCACCAGCCGGCGGCACGAGGCGCCGCGGGCGCCGGAGCCGTGCCGCGCGACGCGGCAGACCCAGCGGAGGAGCACACCGCGTCTCGCCGTCGTTTCGGCGCCGCGCTGCTTGCGGGGTGGCCCAGTCGCAGCCGAGGTGGCGGGAGCCGCACCTCTAATGAAGGCCTTGGCCGCCACCGCCGCCTGCGTCGGCGAGGCGCGGGGAGTGTGGCGGTGGGGCCGGCTGGGGTGGGAAGGGGCGGGGCTTGCTCCGCAGCACGCACCCTGGCGCTCCTCCTGCGCTTGACGGGACGAGGCATCGGCCGCTGGGCGAGGTGAGGCGATCGCCTAGGCAAGCTACGGCCGCGAATTCTTTGTTGGTAAGAAACACCATTCGAACGTTCCTACCTACCTACACAAAGTGGTGGGGCACGGGGGGGGGGGGCGACCCTCGCATCTCCACCCCCGGACACGGATAGGAGCCCCAGGCATTCAAGTGCAAGCACTGGCCCGGTGCGCGTGGCCCGTGGCTCGTGGCACGTGGGTGAGCAGCCTGCCCCTCCCTCCCGACAAACCAACTCCCGCGGACACACACGACACACAATCGCCCAGAACGCAGAAGCCCAGAAGGAGCTCATCTTTCGCGAAGAGCCGACGAGCGCCGAGACCCGAGCCACGCGCGAGCGACGTGAGCGAGATTTGCTCCCGCGAGTTTTTGCAAAATAAAAACAGCCCGACGGGACAGAGGCAGAGCCGAGCGGACGGGAGAGAGAGCGATGAGCGTACGGAGAGAGAGGACAATGTACGTCGAACTCGCCGGCACCACACGCTCTCCCCAGGCTGCCCCTGCCCACACACGCCGAAAGGCGAAAGGCCCCAGCGTTCATGCCATGAATTTGATTCATGCGACGCGCGGCGACGGGGGGCGAGGTCCGGAGAGGGCGCAGGCGCTCTGCCGCCCGCGGGAGAGAGCCCTCAGGGCGGCCTTCTCCCGCGCGGCGAGGGGAGGTAGGGGGTCGCTCTCCGGTCTACTTGACGAAGCTGATGCCCTTGTCAATCTGCTTCTGCAGGTCGGGCAGCAGCTTGTCGAGCCATCCCTGCCGCCGCCGGGAGGGTGGGGCGGGGTGAGGCGCACGGAGGGCCGGGGTGGTGGGGGGCGAGGTAAGCCACTCCTCCACACGGCGGTGTGGGGGCCAAGGGCCGGGCTGCCCCTCGCGTCTCCCAGGGGGGGCAAAGCGGCGGTCCGCGCCTGCTCGTAGCTCGAGAGCGGGCCGAAGGGCAGCACCTGGGGAGGGAGGGAGGGAGGGCGCTCGGTGTCTCTCGGCCTCCCGCGTGCGCGCAGGAGGGAGGGCGAGAGCGGGCGGGCGGGCAGGCGGGGGTGGGGCGGGGTGGGGGTGGGGGGGGGGGGAGCAGGGGTGGCGGGTCGGGCGGGAGTCAGTCGAAAGAAGACCAGAATGCACTCCACACGCGGCGCTCGGGCCGTCGGCAGAATCAGCGGACTGTGCGACATCCCTCTCCGCGGCCGGACGAGATTGGGCGAGATTGGGGCGAGATTGGGCGAGCTGTTGCGACGCATCCCTCGCGGGCGTGCGGGCAGCGACGGGGCGGGGGCGCGCCTCGGCAACGCCGCCGTCAGGGCCAAACTTGCAGGGGGACGCGAAGTACTGCGCCGAGGTGAGGGTGGACTCGACGTACGCGCACTGCACTACCTCCTCGCCGCGCATCGCCTGCGGGAGGACGCGCGAGGCGGACATGTCGTGGACGCGTCCGTCGCACCCCCCCCCCCCCTCGTGGCTACTCCGCCGAGAAGAAGAGGCCGCCGGCGTGTGCATGAGGTGTGCCGGTGTGTCTTGGGGGTGTGTGTGCGAGGTGTCAGGGAAGGTGTCTGGGAAGGTGTCTGCGAGGTGTCTGCGAGGTGCCACCTTGATGACGCCCTCAGTGAAGAGGTAGCCGGCGTATGCCATCGAGAGCGTCGCGGAACCGGACCCAGCCTTGGCCTTGACCACCTGCACTCACAGCCGCGCGCGTGAAGAGACGCCGTTCACACTCGCGCCGGCGAACCTCACCGCCACCAGACTGCACGTCGGCTAGATCTCGGCCAGATCTCGGCTGCACCTCGGCTGCACCTCGGCTGTACCTCCGCATTGAATCTCGGCTCATCTCAGCACATCTCGGCTCAATCTCCGCCTCGTCGCCGCCGAACTGGATCCGCACCGTCAGAGCGTCGAGCACATCGGCCGGGAGCGACGAAGCGCCCGGCACCTGGCGGAGAGAGAGGGGGGGAGGGGGGGCCGGGCGGCGTGCTTGGTGAGCCGCGAGGCGGCGGAGTGGCGGCAGAGTGACGCGGCTGGACAAGGGTCTGTGTGAGTGAGAGGCGGCAGTGAAGTAGCGAGGCGACGGCGCAGCGTCGGGAGAGTGCCCGCGGCGTGCGCAAGTGGAGAGGAGCGCCTGCGAGAGCAGCGGCAGGATGGTGATGCCCGCGTGCCCGCCGATGACCGTCACGTCGATGTCCTTAGGCGAGCATCCCAGCTTCTCCGCCAGAAAGGTGTTGGCGCGGCACACCTGCGGCGCAACGGGGTGCGAGGGAGGACTCGCGGAAGGAAGGGGGAGGGGGGGGGGGGGGGTCCGCGGAAGAGGCGCTTGCGCGGCGCACGTCGAGCGTCGTCACGCCGCACAGCTTCGCCGGCTTGTACACGCCCGCCTTCTTCAGCACCTGCGACGGCGGCGGCTTGCACGCGGCTGCAGCTTCGGCACATCAGAGGAGGCGGCTGAGGCGGCGGAGGCGGTGCTGGCGGCGGTGGCGAAGGTGGGTGATGGCGGCGCCGGCGGCGGCAGTAGGAATGTGGTCGACGGCGGCGGCGGCGGCGGCGGCGGCAAGAGTGGTGGTGGCGGTGGTGGGCGGGGAGGGCAGCGGCGGCGGGAGCGCGGCAGGAGGCATTGTGTGGCATGCGAGAGTGAGCGCGGGCGGGGCGGGGCCGAGAGCGGGGCACGTGGCAAGGCACAGGGGCCTGACAGACGGCGGAGGCGGCGTGCGGCGGGAGCGTGGCCGAGTGCGGCGGGAGTGTGGCACGGCGGCGAGAGCGCGGCGCGCCTCTGCGGCGATCGGCACAGTAGAGTTGACGGGGTTGGAGATGATGGCGAGCGTCGCGTCGGGGCAGTACTTTGCGCATCCCTCGACCAGCGTCTGCACGATCGACGCGTTCGTGTTGAACAGGTCGTCGCGCGTCATGCCCGGCTTGCGCGGCACGCCCGCAGGGATAACAACCACGCTCGCGCCTGTCAGCGTCCGCTCGAGGCCGCTGTTGCCCGACGGCGGCCAGGTGCCGGCCGAGGGCAGGTCCCCGGTGATCACCGCCTTGGTCGGGCAGTGCGAGAGGTCGGCCGCCACGCCCGGCGTGCCGACGACGTCATAGCAAGCAACCTCGTCTATCGAGTCGGACAGCTTGCACAGCAGCGAGAGCGGCTGGCCGATGCCGCCGGCGGCGCCGAGGACGGCGACCTTGACGTGCGACGACGAGGACGAGTACGCGCGAGCGCTGCGGCGGAGCAGCGAGGGGGCGGCGCGAAGCATAGACTGTGGTCGTTGATGGCGTCGTTGATGGCGTCGGAGTCAGCGAGGAGCAGCCTGGGAAGCGCCGGTGCGTTTTGGCGAGTTTTTTATCGTACAATGGAGAAGTTTACTTCGTAAGGTACCCACTCCCAACATTATTCCGCGACCCCCAACCTAGCTGCCCGGGCCTCCCACCTCACAAAGATTTGGCAAGAGCCACAAAGATTTGGCCGTCCACAAATGAGTGGCCAGGCCTCGTCCTCGACCGCAGCCGCGCCCGGCGCTCCACATCCACGGCCGCAAGGCAGGGCGCCGAAGGAGCACACGTGGGATGGAAGCTACGGGGAGAGCGGTGCCTGGCTGCACAACGTCACCGGGCTGCCCTGGGCCAAGGGCGGGCGATCAGCAGCCTCGATGGCTCAGCAGCGCGAGCGCAAGCGCGAGGACAAGCGCGACAGGAGCGGCAGGCCGGAGGCGTCCGGCGCGCAGAAGCGCAAGAAGGGCGCGGTGGAGGCGGAGCGGCGCGACAGGAACCGGCGGCTGAACGTCATCAACCAGTACCGCACAGCGGCTCGCAAGAAGAAGAAGATCCCACTCGACTCGAGCCAGGTGGCGCGCACTAGGGAGGAGAAGCGGCTTCTGGGCGACAATTTCGTGCACGAGGGCCAACGCGTGCGCGTGATCGAGGGGCTGCACGCTGGCTGCTGCGGCGTCGTGCTCGAGCGAGCCGTGCTGTGGGAGTGCGGCAGGGCGGTCACGGCCGTCGTTGAGCCGGAGCATCACCATGATGTGCTGCTGGACGAGGATGAAGATGAGGCCGGGCCGCGCCGCATTTCGCCTTACCAGGTGGAGCCGTGGCCTCGCGTCGGGCAGCAGGTCGGGCTTGATCTCAGCTTGATCTCAGCTTGATCTCAGCTTGATCTCGGCTGGACCCTGGCTGGATCTCGGATCTCGGCTGGATCTCTGCAGGTTTGCTGGCTGCCCGGCGAGCCCAACGCGATCGCCACGGTGACGTCTTTCCACGGCGGCGACGACAACGGCAGCGGCTACATCCTCTCTCGCCGCCTCTACGCCTCGCCGGCGACCGTCGAGGCGATGGCGGGTGGCGAGGTGCGTGGGACACGAGCAGCTTGAGTCATGAGCAGCTTGAGTCATAAGTCACGAGCTAAGAGTCACATAGCCGTGCAGGTGCGCGTCGGCTCGTGGGTGCGGCTGCTGCCGCCGCATCCAGAGTCATCGCCCGAGCTAGACGTCTCGACAGCCAGGCTGCCCGACGAGCCGTCGATCAAAGACGCGCAACGGATGCTTCACGAGCTCAACCTGCATGACGTCGCTGAGTTCAGCTCGGAGCAGCTGCACGAGCTCGTGACGTTCCCCTACTATCACCGAGTGCCCGGCTGGCACGCGCCGGCCATGTCTGCACAGCCCACACCGAGCACGCATCCGCATAGCTGGGTCTCAGCAAGCGCCGAGTTCCTGCCGTTGCGAGATGTGTATGTCGTGCGCGGTGCACGGCGTGCGGAGATTGCCTCGAGCTGGAGTGCGTGACCATGGCATCTCATGATACTCTAGAGCCGCTCGGTAGCGAAAGCGAGCGAGATCCGTGCTGCGCACATTGCAACCACGACCACATGTTCAAATGCGCGCACATGGGTCACGGCTCACGCCGGCGAGTGTGTGTATTCGTGCCCAGAGTGCGAAGTGTCCGGTTCGAGCGATGGCGAGTCGGGTGCCAGCGATGACGACAGCGGTGAGTAGGTGAGTCTACCCTAAAAGTACTCCATTGTACCCATGCGGAGCCTTTATTTTCCGGCCCACCTCCCCAAACGAACCTCTCCAGGGCGGGCGACGGCAGCAAGATACCGACCGACCGACCGACCGACCCTATTTACGTGGGAGACTAGAAAAGAAACCATCCGAGTTAGAAATCGGAGGTTACAAAACAGAACAAACGAACGACCATCAGAAAAAGTAAGGTCGAAGTGATGGTTGGAGGTCAGGTACTCTCGTGCAACCACAGTCCCCTAGGATCCTGGCAGACCTTTCTCAGGCCCACCCCGTGCGAACACCAGCTGTTAAACGCGCAAGCAAGTGGTTAAAAACTGTACTGTATATGGGCCAAGCCGTAAAGAGAACACACAACCCCCTCTCTCCCTTCTAGCGCTCCCAGTAACAGTCCCAGTAAGCTAAAAGATACGTACTTAAAGGGATTGCATGCGCCACTAGTACACCGCACCTCCAGTCCACGTATCACGTATATATCTGATCTCCCGCCCTCCCCTTCACAGTCACACCACCTCGACGTCTTGCCTCCCTCCGCTGTCTGGGCACGACTGGCGGCGCGGTGCTGCCCTCGCCGGGCCGGCTGGGCACGACTGGCGCTGTGCCGGCTCGGTCCGCGGTGGCAGCTTCCTGCGTCGGGCGGGGCTCGTGGCGGCGCCTCCGTGCGGCGGGGGGTGGGCGTCGTCGCCGCCGCTCTTCGAGCCGTCCGACGAGGCGATCGAGTTGCCGAGGCTCGACATGAGGCTGCTGCCAAGGTGCCCGCTCAGCCTGCGGCGGAGGAGGGAGGCGCTAACCTCGGGCATTCTCGCCTGATCTCGAGCACTGGTACGACGGCCACGCCTGCGAAGGAGGGAGCCGGTGCTGCTCCGGCTCGCGAGCTGCTCGAGCTGGTCGAGGAGGAGCCGCGCCTGCGTGCGGGGCGGGGGAGGGTGTGTGTCGAGCACTGCTGGGGAGATCTCGGGAGCGCACTGGCTCGAGAGGGGGAGGGGGGGGGGGGGGGGTCGGAGGAGTATGGGGCGAGGCGGAGGCGAGGGTGGAGAGTCGACGACGAGGCGGCGAGGGCGAAGGGGTGGGCGGCGAGGGTGGCGGCGGCGTAGCCGCGCCGAGACGGCGGCGTGCGGCTCATCAAAGACCGGCGTGGCGATGCGCCGGTAGACGCCTGACGCCTTGAGGGCGGGTGGCGTAGCCTCCGCAATCTCGTTGAAGGTGGCCGCGCCGTGCGCCCTCCTCCGCTCGTGGACGAGCAGCAGCGGGACGCCTAATCTCGGGCGATCGCGGGTGATCTCGGTCCATCTCGGCCCATCTCGGGTCCTCGGTGCGGCGGCGGGACGCCGTCGTGCAGCGCGGCCTGTAGCTCGCGCGTCAGGCTGGTGGCCCGATCTCCGGGCGAGAAGGTCTCGGCGTGGAGGTAGACGAGAAAGCAGACCTAGCCTCGGCCCATCTCGGGTCAGTCTCGGGCCATCTCGGGTCCTCTCGGGCGGACGAGGCAGCAGACCACGCTGGCGGGGCTGGCGTGATCGAGCGCGTCAGTCGAGCGCAGGACGCTCAACGGTAGCCCGCTCATGCTCGTCCGCCGGAGCTGCAGGCCGAGGGGTGCGGCGCGGCGCGGCGCCGCCTGGCGAGGGGTGATGGGGCGCTGAGGTGCGAGATGCGAGGGGCGGTGAGGGGGTGAGGGATGAGGGTGGTGAGGGGGTGAGGGGGAGGGGATGAGGGGATGAGGGGGTGAGGGGGTGAGGGGTGAGGGGCGAGGGGCGAGGATATGGCTAGGGCGAGGGTGAGGGTGGGGATGGGGGCAGGGGCGAGGGTGAGGAGGCGAGGGGCGAGGGTGAGGAGGCGAGGGGCGAGCAGCGAGGGCGAGGGTGGAGGCGGCGAGGGCGAGGCGCCGCCTGCTCGAGCATGTCGACGATCAGCTCGACGCCCGGGTTGTGCGGCGAGTGGTAAAAGTGGTACGGCCGCTTGGTGACGAGGCGCGGCGTCGGCCGGAGGAGCCGGTCGCTCGGAATGAAGATGGCGCGGTCGGCGCCAGGCACGCGCCAAGCCGTGAGCAGACGCTCGATGAGCAGCCGGAGCGAGACGGTCTGGAAGTCGCGCAGCCGGTGCCACGGGATGGGCGGGTGTCGAAACACGGCGGCCGCGAGCTCGTCGGGGCACGCCTCGCGGTGCACCTCGAGCGGCACGCCCCCGTGGGTCGGGTCGGTCTCGAGCACCAGCAGGATGGGCACGTCCTGGTCCACGGCGGCTCGCAGCTCCACCATGCAGTTCGCGGACGAGAAGTAGTCCGACTGCGGCTGCCCGAGCGGCGAGGACGAGCCGCTCAGAAAGACCACCAGCGCGCTCGAGTTGCCGACGTACTCGCCGAGCCGGGAGATGTCCTCGAGGTTGTCGACGTCGAGGAAGACCTGGATGTTCTGGACGTACCGCTGCAGCTGCCCCTTGACCGACCGCGCCTGGTCCTGCCCGCTCGCCCACGCGTGGCTCACGAAGCAGTGGAACACGTCGTGCGGGACCGACGGCGCGGCGACCACGCGCGCGCGGCTGCGAGTCAGCGTCTCCTCGTCAAGGGCGTCTCCGCCGCAGCAGCCCGCCCGCTGGACAAGGCTGGTCAGTTGCCTTCCGGAGAGGTTGGAGCGCCGCCGCGCCTTTGGGTCGACCTGCGGGAACAATGAGGTAAGGTCAGCCTTCTCCTTGCGATGAGGGCGGCGGCGACGGGAGGGACGAGCGCGGTGGCGATCCTGCCAGCGCGCGAATTCCCTCTCGGCAAAGGTGATCTGCGTCTGGTACGCGTTCTTTCGGCGCAGCACCGCCCAGAGAGAGAGGAAGAGGAGCAGGAAGGCGACGCACGCGATGCCGATCGCGTAGTACGGGAAGTTGATCCCCTCCTCCTTTGGGGGCGGCGGAGGCGAAGGCGGAGGCGATGGCAGGTACTCAGAGCAGCGCCCACCATCAACCGACTCAAAGCCCTCCTCGCACTCGCATACGGCTCTGCCCGGGCCATCCTGCTTGCACCAGCCGTTCGCGCCACAGGGGTCGGCGCGGCGGCACTCTCTGAGTTCCCAGGTTGGCATCGGAAAGGCAACCTCCCGAATCGTCTCGCCCCACCCCGAATAGTCGACCACGTCAGCCAACGGAAGCTCAACCCCGTCCAGCACCCCCTTTCTCGTGCTGAAGGGGAGGTACTGGATCACGGGGAAGGCGGCGAGCGCAGCGTCCTGCTGGCCGTGGGCGTCAAACGAGATGTTGCCAAAGAACTCGGGCAGCTCGGAGCTCAGGAGCGCCTCGGTGACGGCCGACGTGTTGAGCGAGCCAGTCGACTCGATCGCGTACGCCAGCGCCGACAGGGCGGCGATCGTGATTGCGCTGTGCCGCCCTGGCGCGGTGTCAAACTCGACTCGAAATCTGTCGTCGTACTCTCGGGAGGTCAAGTTGGTGAAGGCGCCCTTCGGCCCCGGCAGCGCCCTGTCCCAGGGGTAGGTCTCCAAGAAGTACTCGCCCTCCCACCAGCCCTCCGCCATCCGGGTTCGATACCTCGACTTGTAGAGCGAGGTGGTGAGGATGGTGGCGAGCGGAGCGTAGCTCAGGTTCCGCATGATGTTTGGCACCTCCACGGCACCGGGAGAGCAGACGAGCACCACCGTCGCCCCGTCATCCCTGAGCTGCGCCAGCGCCGACGCCAGGCTGCTCTCGTACGCGGCGTCGTCCACGTCCCTCGAGGCTTGCACGTACTCAAGGCCGGAATTCCTGCGCCCCGCGATGACGGCGGTCGAGACATTGGCCACGCCGCCAAGGGAGGTCCACAGCGCGGTCGCGTTGCCGCACATATCCCGGACGGGGAAGCTGTAGCTGGAGTTCTCGAGGACCACACCCAGCTTCAGACTCTTCACGCACGATCCCGCTTCGCACCGCGAGGCTAGCTCGCACGGATCACGTTCCGGCGCTGCCGTGCGGGGCGCGGCGCCCAGCCGCGCTGAGAAGTTGGTGGCTTCTCCGAGCTGGCGCCGACCTGGTAGAGAGCAGTTTGCGTCAAACTGCCTTGCCGCATCGAAGACCGCCTCCAAGCCTCGACGAGCGTACGTCTCGGTCGGTGGCTGCAGGCCGAACGCCAGCGTTCTCGCCCCCGCGCCCACCTCTCCCGCCAGGGCCGCCGCCTCGGAGTAAATCCTGGGGCTTGAGCCGGCGGGCGAAAGCAGGGCCCTGCCGTCGAGGACCGCCTGCTTCGAGGCGTGTTCCGTCATCAACGACCCTCGCGGCGTTACCAAAAAGTCGGGCTGAAAGTCGAGCACGAGCCGCGAGGTGCTGTTGGTGACTTGGAGCGGGTTTGAGCTGTCGCCAATGATGACGCACTGGAGGTCGTACGTCTCGTTGCCCACTCGGATACCGCCGCGCTCTCTGACCAGCGTCGAAAAGAAGGAGCAGTCTTGTCGCAGCTCGACTATGAGGATCGACGACGGGTCGTTTGCGTCCAGCGGCGCGGGCGCCCCAATCACGAGAGATTTACGGCTCTCGTCAGTGTTACTGGAGCATGTGTCGGCGATGGTGAGCATCCCGGTGTTGGGCTTCAGCTCTGGCTCGCGCTCGTTTAGGTTTCGGACGTGCCAGCAATAGTTGTAGCCCTCTGTGCCATAGTAGCTCGGGCGCGAGAAGCCGTCGCCGGGCTCCTCGCAACGATCTCCATCCTTGATCGAATATTGGACGAGCCGCACGTCCTCCCCCGGCCGGGTGCACTGCGCACCATCGGAGATGTAAGGCTGCAGCAGGGCGGCAGCTTGGAGCAGCGCCAGCAGCCCGGGCATGCTGAGCGCCTGGGCACGGCAAGGTGCTTCTGGAAGGCGGCGCGCTGAAAAAAAGAAATTACGCGCCCGGACCCGTTTTAAGGCGTTTAAGCCGCAGGCGCCCCAGGGCCCACCCTTTTAAGCCTAGGGGTCCCAAGTCCCTCTCCCCTCTCCCTCTCGCTCACGCAGACACGCACCCCGCTACAGCGCTAGCCGCTACGGCTTTAGCGCGCTACGACCTGGTACAGCAAAATTGTACAAACACAAGCGACAAGGCCGATTGCGATGCTGTATCGCTGCGTGTATGAATCGATCGTCTCTAAGCGCAGTACTCAGCACCTGTTTTGTGCCAGATAGGACAAGGAGATACGCATGTACGGCTCTTCCGAGACGTTCAAGATAACTCAGAAGTGAATTCAGCAGTCACCGCTCAGGTTCACCGAGGCCCCGCAACGTACACGGCTCCCTCATCAAGCGCCCCAAAATCCCTAGTACACGAATCCCGCCGCCTCGAGCGCCGCGTTCCGGCGCAGCAGGTACTTGTTTCTCCATTCCATTGGCCCTTCCTCACTGTCGTGCAAGATGTGGGAGGTTCCCGCCGACATCACGTTCGCATTGGAGAGGGCCCGCACCCGTGGCAAGAGGGGGCCGATAAAGTGCCTGTTCCGCTCTGCAATGTAAGGATCGCGGACAAACTTGCCCTCGTCGCTGAGCCACGTCGGCTCACCCTCCTTCTCGAACCAAAGGCACGGCCAGAACCATGGGAACGATGAGTGGGCAAAGAAAGCCACCTGCTTGAACCGAGAACACACGGTGGAGAACTCGAGTTTGGCGAGAAAGGCATTCTTGCGCGACTTGGCTTTGCCATGGTTAGTCACACGTACGCTCTTTGCTTCCATGACAAGCGCAAAGATGTAGGCAAGAGCGTCGTTGTCGAGCCGCAGGATCGGAGCATCCGCACCGCTCTTCCTCGCGCGAGAGTGCGCGGCGTTGGTGGCTGGCCCTTCTGCGCACGCGGTGCAGTCGTCGCCCCTCGGCGCTGTGCAGACCACAGTCGCGGGGGCGCCGCCCTCCCGCATGGTGCGCGGCGCGAGGCAGCGGCCGACGGCCTCCACAGGAAGGGAGGAGAGGTCCGCCTCCGGGCCGTCGGCGTCCGCAGCGCGCTGCGTGCACGATGCGAGGAAGGTGGCCGACATACTGAGCGTGAGCGGCGCGAGCGCGGCTTCGCGGGGCTTTTAGTGCGCAACGCGCAGTGCAGAAAAACGAGGGGGCGGGGGGGGGAGGGGGGGAGAAGAATTTTACAATTTTCCTCGCACGACACTGGGCACGGGACTGGCGCGCACTGGCACTAACACAGGGGGAGAAGAATTTTACGAGCAACGCGGTCGCACAGCACGATTCACGCGACAGGCAAGGCGCAGGCGAGAAGAATTTTACAATGGGAGAAGAAGTGCGAGGACGGGCGTGGCGGAACACCGTCGGTCATTTTCTTCTTTAGGTGACCTGAGGTTTTAGGTGTATTGTTGGCAAGACCTGAGGTAGTGTGCCAGTGCGCGCCTGCGAGAGGTAGTGTTATCGGACACGGCTCCGGGCTCTGATGCTGTGAGCCCCGGACCCTCCTTGCGAAGCACACACGCCGGTGTGGAAGGGGGAAGTCCGGAATCGCCGAGAGCAGCGCGTGGGAGCATGGCATCGCGCTGGGAAAACTCTTTTGTCCTACTCACTCTTAGCCTTGAAGTACAACGACCTGGGTGTGAGCCAAGTCCGTGGCTAAGCCGAGTTGGGGCAGCGAGCGGCCTGTCAGGTCGACTCGCCCATGCCCAGCCCGCTTGTGGCTGCCCCGACACATGGCCTCTGGTGGACCTTGCTGGAGGTCCACTTCGGCTAAATTCACGCCCCAAACGCTACTATTCTCAGGCCAAGTCCAGGCACACTAGAGGACTGCCTGAGCTCACAGGGGCATGTACTACTTACTATATTCACACCTACTATGCTGTTTTCACACCGATCATAATACGCGATCGCGCAGCGCGCCAGTCCCGTGCTGCGAGGAACGGGTGAAAACACATTCACCAGCGACTGGACACCAGGCGGTATGGGTGGTGAGAGAGAGACACACGACAAGTAAGGCGGAGAGAGACGTCACACGATAGGCACACTCTGTGGCTGGCATCCGTCTGGCTGGCACCGGGGACGTACGCTAGTGAACGACGGCGTCATCATCGAGCCGGCCCGCCACGCTGTCGCCAGCTTCCCCCGCCTTCTCGTGGTCCTCGGTGCCCCTCTTCCAGCAGCTCTGCGAGGTCAACGCCTCATTCACGCGCGAGTTTTCGCCCGCACGTGCCAAGTGGCTGACTCGCCACTTTCCTCTCATCGTGCTTGAGCACTGTCAGGGCCAAGGGCCGGAGGCGTATGAGCCACGGGGACCTGCAGGGTATCGGCCTCGCAAGGGCTACATTGACGGGCACTACATCGCCGCGGCTGCGGAACTCAAGCGTCTCAACAGATCCACGACAATCCTCTACTATCAAAACATGGACGCGGCTCTCCCCTTCTTTCGATACTCTTCCAACATCGCTATGCATCCCAAATGGCGTGTCTCGGGACGTGGCAGCACGGGAGGCAGCATGTTTCCAAACCTAACAACCTACATCTGGGACCACAGTAACGACGAGGTACAGCGGACGTTCCTCAGCACGTTCCTCAACCTGACCGACGCTGGGAGCCCGCTGGACGGCACCTTTGTGGACACGGCCGAGGGCGAGGCACCTGCCGGCCGTGCCGAAATCCTGGCACGCATGCAGAGCATGCGACCAAACAAGCTGGTCGGATTCCACACCGCCGACATCCCATCCACCTACTCGCTGACACAGATTTACAACTTTGACGCGTCCGAGAGCAAGATTGATTGGCTGCGGCGCATCGCAACATCGCCCACCATAGCGCTGGTGCATGCGCAGACCGCCTTTGGCACTTGCGAGCAGTGCGGCCACGTGCACTCCGCCCTCGCCGCCTTCCTGATCGGCGCCGGAGAGCGGTCCTACTTTGCTTTCTCGGCCATCGGCGACGCGGGCGGGCCGGGTTCGGCAGGATGGGAATTCTGCGCCCCTCACTCGCCCGCCGACCCGATCTTTCCAACCTGGTGCACTGGTATGGGTTGGAGCGATGACTTTCTGCGCCCCCTCGGGCCGCCCCTCGCGGACGCCGAGAGGTCCACGGGCGGAATCTGGCGTCGCCGTTTCGCCACGGGCACCAACGTGAGCGTCGACACTGGAAGGGGCGAGTGTCGGATCGATTGGGCCGTCGGACCCGCAACTGTTTGCGCTCCGTTCGTGACGGTCGACTGGTAGAAGAAGGGCTCACGCTTTTGCAAATTCGTTTTTGCTAGCCTGGTGTCTTTCTTCCCGTCGGCTGTGAATGCGCGGTGACCCGGTGTCGGCTGTCGGACTTTTTTTAGACCAGGCGGTGACCACCCGCGCTCCCGCGGCGCCCGACGATTTGCTTCTACTTTCTGCACCAGGTGGAGCGAGACTCGGCGGCCAGCGCCGCGGTGGACCGGGGTCCGGGGCGTCGGCAGCGCGGCGCTGCGCGGCGCGCGGCAGCGCCACACACCACAGCCTGCCCGGGCCTGCGACATTGGGGGGAGCCTCCTGGAGCGCTGCGGAGGACGGAAGGCGCATCGGAGAGCGTTGGCTGAAATAAATTCTTTTTGTCGTGCCGGCCGCTCTTTTGACTTTTCCTGCTTTTGTGTTTCTTTTGTTCTTGTTGTGTGTGCTAGTAAAGAAAGAAAGAAAGAAAACGGACAACCCAAGAAATAGTTTTTTCAGCACCGGCGCCCGGCGCGCGGCGCGCCCGGACTTCGTGTGCGTCTATGCCTGTGTCTGTGTGCCTCCCGATGCCAACCGCCCCGGCCGACTCCACCCTCGTCTCAAAGTGCGCTGCCTTCGACGCCTTTTCCGCCGGCAAGCGGCCGGCAGGCGGCAACGTCGTCCGCGGCGTCCGCTGGTCGCCCGATGGCTCGTGCCTGCTCACCGCGAGCGAGGACTGCGCGCTGCGCGTCTTCCACCTTCCGAGCGAGGTGGCGCACGATGCGTACGCCACCACCTGCGCCGCGGTGGAGGCCGAGCGCGGCGACGGCAGCGGCGGCGGCGACGGCGCTGCCACGGCGAGCGAAAACGGCAACGGCGCGGTGACGGGCGGAGGCGGTGGCGACTCGGAAGAGGAGCTGAGGCCGGCGCTGCGGATCGACGAGGGCGAGTCCGTGTACGACTACGCGTGGTACCCGCTAATGTCTGCCCACGACCCGATGACGTGCGGCTCGCCCCTTGCCACGAGCCTTTGCCACGAGCCTTTGCCCCTCCAAGCCTCTCCCCTCCGTGACGGCGTCCGCGACACCTCGTGGACACGTCCGGTAGGTGCTGCCTGCTCAGCACAAGCCGCGGCCGGCCGGTGCACCTGTGGGACGCCGTCAGCGGGACGCTGCGCGCCTCGTACGTCGGCTTCAACCATCTCGACGAGGTGGACGCCGCCAACTCGGTCGTCTTCGAGCCGTCGGGCCGCTTCATCTACGCGGGGTACGAGCGCGCCGTGCGAGTCTTCGACGTGACGCGGCCAGGCAGGGCTATCGAGACGCGGCCGACAGCGGCGACGCGCAAGTCGAGGGACGGCCAGCGGGGCCTCCTGTCGTGCCTCGCCTTCTGCCCCGACGGGTCGGGCCTGTACGCGGCGGGCTCGTTTGCGGGTTGAGCGTCTTGTGCGCCGACGCCGCAACGGGTGTGATCTGGAATCAGAGACGATGATGGTTGCTAGGCTCGATCGGCCTATACGTCGACAACGCAAAGGCGCACGTCGCGCTGCTCGGCGGACACACGGGCGGAGTGACGCAGGTTCAGTTCACGCCCGATGGCCTCTATCTCCTCTCGGGCGCGCGGCGCGACGGGCGGATCCTCGCGCCGGCCCTCCCCCTCTGAACCTTCTCGGACCCTTCCGGGCAGGCGCGCGGCGCGACGGGCGGATCATCGCTTGGGACGTGCGCAACACGTGCCAGCCGGTGGCCGAGTACGTGCGGTCCTCCCCCACCAACCAGCGCATCGGCTTCGACCTATCGCGTGACGGGTCACACCTGTTTACCGGCTCGCGCGACGGGTGCGTGCTCGCCTACCCGCTGCAACGGCCGCCCTCCCCTACACACACAGTACCCGAACCCACCCAGGTGTGTGCTCGCCTACCCGCTGCACGGTCCGCCCTCCGAGCCCACCACGCTCCTCTCGTACGCCGACGCGGTGAGCGGCGTCTCGCTCCACCCGTCGCTGCCTCTCCTCGCCGTGTCGGTCGGTGAGCGAACCTTCCCGCTGCGCTTCGGCGGCAAGAGGCGGAGGGAGGGCGGCGAGGGCGGCGAGGGCGGCGAGGGCGGCGAGGGCGGCGGCAGCGGTGACGGCAGCGGCGGCAGCAGCGGAAGCAGCAGTGGCGACGACGACGACGACGAGGAGGAGGAGGACGAGGGAGAGCCGCAGCAGGGGATTGAAGTCTGGAAGTTCCCCCAGGCGGCGGCGAGCGGAGCCTCCCTCGCGGCGGCGCAGCAAGCGGCGGTGGAGGGCGCGTAGATGCGGAGGGCGTGCGCCCTGCCTTCCAGCTGGCACTCTCGAGACACCACGCGCTAGCACTCGAGACAGCACCCGCTCCGCCGCACCTCCAAGCCGCGGATCCTCTGCAGCTCCTGATCGAGGCGGGGGATGCGCCGCAGACAGCCGACCTCCCGGAGAATGACTCGGGTACAATCTCGGATGATAGGCGGAGGATCAGGCAACCTACCCCGAGGCCGGGGGCGGGGGCGAGGCCCACACCACCGCCGCGGGGGAGATCCCCACGGCGGAGGCAGATATGTCCGACGAGAGCGAGGAGGCTGGCGGGGAGGCTGGCGGGGAGGGAGAGGGGGAGGGGTCGGTTGCGGAGGCGTTGAACGGAAGTAGCTCCGGGGGAGACGAGGCGCTCGAGGAGTGGCGCGCGAGGCTGCTGGAGCAGGTGTCGCAGATTGGGGGAGGAGGAGAGAGCTAGCCTGCCATTCAGGGTTCTTGTTGTTGTTGGCTCCTAAAAAATCTCTCTCTTAAGGGTTATGTATGTAAAAAAAAGGAGTAGGAGAGGGCAAAAGATTTCGTCAAAAGGGCAAGGCGAAATCGAAAAACGTATAAACGAATCGCGGCCCGCGGGAGCGGGGCCGCACATTGCTCGGCCACCGTCTGGCGAAACGAATCGGCCCGGAGCGGCCGCACATTGCTCAGTACCCCCCCTTTGAAGCACAAAGCACTAGCACCCGGCCGCTACCCAAACTGTAGTGAGCGTCGGGCTGGTGGTTCGACACCGAGTTTGAAATGTCTGTTTCTCCACCGCTTCTCTTCACAGGAAAATCGTGTGAAGATAAGCGGAGAAAAACAGAAACCTTTTCTGCCTCGGCCTTAGCCGTCGGTATGCCGAAAGCGTGCTGTAGCACGCAGCCGGGTCCCGAAGGTGTCCCATCCCAAATTCGTGCCGTCGACAGACCAGATTCGTGGTCCCTTGGTCGAACACCCGCCTTTGGACGGTAGCCCGACACAATACATTTGTCTGTCTTTTGGATTTTTGGCTCGTCTGGGTAAGGGTTTTGTAAGAAATCTCCTCACCACTGCGAACATAGATCATAGTCTTGCTCGTAGAAGCCGTTCGTCTTTTGTTCGAGCATACGCGCGCTCTATCACCCCGTTGAGCACGTGTGCAGGGTATCCGAGCGCCGTGAACTCCCTCAGCTTGCTCGTCACGCTGAGCGCGAACCCCTCGTCATCGCTCGCCATAGCACTCACTTTGAGCAGGCATCCAACGACGATGCCCGCTTTCATGTGAAGCTGTCCCAACGATGGTAGCGCCACACCCGAGGCTCTGCCTCGCAGCCCTCGTTCACGTTCTTGAGTCTCGTCCGGAAACCTCCGTTCGCTTCGAGCTAAAGAGAGCGGCGTGCACCTCGATCCTGGAGCCGGGTGGGGAGGTGACGGGGCATCGTGCGATGGTCTGAGGCCCAGTTGGAGGGTACTTACTGCATCTGACCATCCCGTTTGAGGAGACGACACCGCCCTGGATCCAGCTGAACAAGCTCCTCTTGTAGCATGAGCACTCTCATGGTCTTGCTATGATCCACGGTCGCAGCTGGAGAGGAGGTCCTGGGGAACGGGAACTGATGGACCTCTCTCCATCCATCCAGCGGAGGGAACGACACCGCCCGGTTCAATTTCTTCTGGGTCGCGTACACCTCCCGCCGTTCGGTGAGCTTGCGCCTTGTGTATGCCGATGGCAGCCCATGTGGCGGACGGCATGCACTGGGGTGTTCATGGGGTCCCGTACCATGCGGAATCGACCCAAGAAGAGGAAAATGAGCCTTCCAAGGTGACACGCTCTGAGAGCTTGCTTTACACCTTCTACCCGAGCAACGGCGGCGCACCTGCCGGTCGTTGGTGCTGGCGGCTTGCAAGTTGCGTCGCGCCAGTGCGCTCCAGTAGTGCTCCAGCGGTGCTAGCGTCCACCTCGGGTCTTCCTGTTCCTCTTTGCGCCTACTTCGGCCGCGCTAGAGCAGCCTCTACGCCGACCTCGGCCGTACTCTCGAGAATGCAGTCCAACTCCTGCGCGCTGTGCCAGCTCGCGAGGGTGGAGGGTGTACGCGAGTGCATATTTTGCCAGCACACGTCGAGGGCGGACCGGCTTGGTCTGGCGACGGACGCAGTCGAGCGCCGCCTCTTCTCGCGCGACCCATTCTCGTCCCGAGCCAACGGGCTCGCCGACCCAGGGCTGCCGCCGCAGTCTCAAACTCAGCACCGGCTATGGATGCTCCGCCTATCCTCTCGGCACGGCTCCGCTCGCGATTTCATTGCCGCGCTCAACCGGATGCCAGACGAGGTGAGGCGCCTCGGGGATTCCGCACCGTTCAATCCAGATGCGCCAAGGGACATGATCCTGGTGCGAACGTCCAAGTATGGGATGCTCATGCTAGCACGCTACCACCCCGCCTCGGCTCCCTCACTGGCGGCGACCAAAGCGGCCGTCTCCCGCATGTCCTCCTTCTTTGCAACGGCGCCGACATTGCTGGGCACCGGCGTCAGCTGCTGGGCCATGGGCAGGGACCCGGCCTCCCGCGCCGGCAACTATGTTGGCGTGGGCACGGTCGCACTGGGCGAGCTGGACGAGGCCGCGCGCGACCAATGCGTGGCCGTGCTCTGCGCGCGCGCCGAGAAACATCGGTCCCGGCTGAGGGCGCTCGAGGGCATCTGTGGGGTGCACCGGCCCTCTCCGCCTTGCCTCGCCTCACTCGCATCGGTAGCCCTGACCGGCTCGCCCACCCCTCTCCTCGCCCTCTCCCGACCTACCCGTCTGACCGCCACCTGCTCCCTCCCTGCAGATGCGACTGGTGCGGGACGGCGACGTGCTGCTGCTCATCCTCGCCGCCGACCGCCCCGGCCAGGGCCTCATGGCGCAGGTGCAGGCACTCCTGCACGCCGAGGCGGCGGCCCCGGCGGCGGCGGGCGAGGCCGGGCAGTGCTGCACCAGAGACGGGTGCTCACCGCGCATCCTGCTGCTGACACACGGCGCCGTCGTGTGGCACCGGCACGTCGACTCCTCGAGCCCGCGCTTCGAGGTTGCCGGCGACGCGTCCTCGCAGCCCGTCTCCTTCCGCCTCAGCCTCTCGGCGGCCGAGTCAAGCGAGGCGTGCTCCCTAGCTGTGGCTCCTGTCTGGACAGCCATGCTCCTAGCCATGCTCCTGGGCATGCTCTGCAGCCGGCAGACCCGGTGGTAGTGCCGCAGTAGCCATGCTCGCACACTGTCTCTGCGCCTCGGGGCAGTGGCTGACTGACCAGTGAGCCGCCTATGCTTCCCACTAGGACGACGCCAACCGCCGCTCGCGCCTCTCCCTCGCCTCGCAGCCGTCGAGCCGTCGAGAGAGCCGCCGCTGGAGCACCGATTGGCTGCCCCGCAGCGGGCAGTCCGCGAGGCGGAAGGTGCCGCCGCCCGCGCGCCGCTCAAAGTCGGTCGACTGCCCCGCGCCGACTCGCGCGCGCGGCTCTGGAGGCTGCTCGATGAGCTCGCCGCTCGGACGCAGGTCGATCCCGGGCCTCGACAGGAGGGAGGGCGGGAGGGAGGGCGGGCGGGATGCCGTGCCCGCCGTCCTGCAGAGGGCGGCGAGTGTGCCGCGCCTCTCCCGCCGCTGGAGCAGCGTGCTCGGCTGGCGCGGGTTCCGCAGCGGTCAGCGGCGGAGGCGCTCGAGCGAGCGGGCGGGGCGCCGCTCGGCGTCGAGCGTCGCCACGGACAGCGAGGGGGAGGGAGGGGCGCCGCCGCAGAGCGCCAGAGGGGACGAGGGCGAGGGCTCCAATTCGCCCTCCAACTCGCCCCCCGGGGGGGAGACCGAGTCGGAGCAGCGGCGCTCGCGCTTTGGCGCGCTGGGGGGGCTCGCGGTGGCGTCGGCCGCTCTGCTGGGCGTGGCGGCCCTAAAGGGCGCGCCGCGGCGCTGACGGCTCGCCTGAGCCATGCTGCTGCGCCCCGCTCTCGTGTGCGCACACAGCGCACGCTCTGCGGCGGTGGGGGCGGAGGCCTGGACTGCCCGCAGCCTAGGCACCGGCCCTCCGGCTCCGCCCGCTCTCAGGGAGAGTCTCCTCTCGCCGTCGGTTGTGGGATTCTTCAATGGTTCCATATTATTATATTATCGGGCGCAGCAAGCCAACGGGGGGGCTAGCGCGTGCGCGCCACGCCGGACCATTTTTCGCTCTCGCGAGTTTTATCGACACTCCTCACTCGAGCACGCATTGCTCTTGCCCTCTTAGATATAAAGTCTTTCGCTCGTCAGACGTCACAACTCACATTGTCACGTTGTGCTTGTACGTGGCCAGTACATATTTTGAATTTTCCTCACACATGAGGACATGTTCGACGCACACACCGAATTGGAGGCGAGAGAGAGGGATCCTCGGCGCGGGTGGTAGGCTCGAGAAATAAATGATACCACCGTACACCGCGCGCCAAACATGGATCAGAAACAATCCCGGGCCCGACAGAGAAAGATGTATCCGGCGCGCCGCGAGCGCGAGGCTGCAACGCGCAACCACGCGACACCGCGCGCAACCATGCCAGGCTACACCCCGGCAACCCGAATGCTCTCACACACACTCGGCACACTCCACAGTCCACACATGCCTACGTAATCATAGATTGCGGGGCGCACGCGGCCAGCCAGCTAGGGGCCGGTGCGCGTCCACAGCCGCGTCCCACTGGGACACATCCATCGGACACCCCTGCCGAGGGAAATCGGGGCGCCCTGAGGCGTCGTCGCCGCCGGGGCCTAAAGCTCACGGCGCCCCGCGGCGTCGCACGCCTTCGGCCGGCCTCCCTGTGAGCCACGGCGGCGGCGGCGGCTCCGCCACTCGCGGCGGCGCCGTGTCTAGTTGCGTCTCGTCGATCGGCGGCAGGGTGAGCTTGCGCGAGTTCCTCCTGCGGCGAGCGGGGGCCGTGCGGCGGCGGCGGTCAGGCGGACGGCTGCGGCGAGGGTTTGGGAGGGGCGCCGGGCTCTCTCACCGGAGAGAGTTTCGCCGGAGCAGCGCGGGATGAGCAAAGGATACCTCCTTTTGCCGCACGTAGTCGAGCCAGCGGCGCGCGTCCTGGGCCCACCCCTCCTCCTCCTCCTCCTCCTCAAACCTCCTCCGCGCCGCGATCCTGGCGAGGAAGAGCACGGCGATCCCAAGGAGCGAGCGCAGGCCCCGCAGCTGCGCCCAGGAGCCCGTCCGAACCAGCGAGCGGATGCCGCGCATGGGCAGCATGGTCGCGAGGAAGACGACGAAGGCGAGCTTCCTCATTGCCCGCAAGGCAAACCGCTACGAAGGGTCCTAATTGCCCCACCGAAACCCAAATTCTTCTAGACCACCGCCGAATCTGTGCCAAAAATGGCTCCACGCGGTGGCGCTCGCTGCTGGGTCTCTCTCTGGATGGAGAGACGGTCTCGCTGCATGGCCTGCGTCCGACTCGTCGTGGGATGGTGTCACCTCATACTCTCTCTGTCTCTCTCTCTCTCTCTCTCTCTCTCTCTCTCTCCCGCCGCCAGAGAGCGAGACCGCGCGCTTTTATTTTGTCCCACGCCTCGTTTGACAAGCGAGCCCGTCCGCTGGCCGGCTCGGCCGCCGCCCATCTTGTCCATGGCCCTCGCCCCCGCCCTCGGGCCGGACCCGCTCGAGTGCGGCGAGTGCCTCAGCTCCTTCGACCGCAGCCCCGACAAGGCGTCCGACGCGGCCGCACTGCTCGTCATGCTCAGCCAGTCCTCTGGTGGCGACGATCCGGGCGCGGCCGGGCCGAGCGCCACCCCCTTGTTGGGCGGCGCCGCGAAGCGAGAGCCGGCCCGGCCGAGCGTGCTGCTGACGGCGCAGCACCAGGCGCCCGCAGCTCTCGCCGCGCCCCGCCGCGCCAGAGTCATAGGGATCCCTGACGCCCGGCTCTGCGCCTCTGCGCGGCCGCAGTTGAGTGTAGCCATCGACGAGTGCGAGCGAGGCGACACGGTGGGTGCGCTGGTGTCGCCGCTGCTGGAGGTGGCCGTCAAGCCGTCCAGCAAGAGCCGCGCCAACAAGGTGGACAGAGCGCTGCGATGCGGTGCGTTGCCAGCTCTGCCCCCTTCTCGGGACCCGTGTCGGCTCCGCCCCCCCCCCCCCCCCCGACCGCCGCTCCGCGCTGCGCCACAGCCTTCGCCGCGCAGGAGGTGCCCGAGCGCACAGGCGCCCACGCCCACCGCCCCGCCGCCGCCGCCGCCACCGCGCAGGAGCGTGCGACGGCTGCAAACGTGCTGACTGCGGGCGCTGTCCAAACTGCAAGGACAAGCCAAAGTTTGGCGGCGCGGGCGTGAAGAAGCAGGCGTGCCAGTACCGCGGCTGCCTCACGCCGACGCGTACTGGCAACGGCCGCGTCCTCCCGCCCGATCCCGAGCGCGCCAGCAGCCAGATCAGCAGCGCCGACGAGTCTTCGGAGCCTGTCAATGGGTACGTCTCTCCGCGCCTCTCAGAGTCCTCCGCCAGAGGGAGCTTTGAGGAGGGGGTGGGCTTGCCTGCGGCGCTCCTCGGCGCCGCGGGGCTGGTGGAGCGGAGCATCAACGAAGAGGCGCGCGGCCACCCTTCTCTCCCCTCCCGCCGAGCCCCGCTTCGCTGCCTGATTGCCTGGCCAGTGGCCGCAGGGCGAGCTCGAGGCGAGGCCGCTAGAGGCGCGCAAGCCGCTGGGCGCATCGGCGCTGCTGCACGCCGAGAAGCCGCTCGCCAAGGTGAGCTCGCCGGGAAAGCGATCGCGGAGGTGAGGGCAGAGCAGGCGGCAGCCTCCCGTTTCTCGCCAGCGAGCGGATGAGGAAACGCGCAACGGCGGAGACCGGGCGTCTCGGCGAAACTGCTCTCGTGGTACTGTTCAGTGTGCGATATGGATCCGTATCGCGGTGATCTCAGCAGTAATGGGCATGGCGGGGGGAAAGGGGGCTCTGCGGTGTGTGTGTACTTGAACTGGGGGGCGGGACGACTGCGTTTATCTTGTCGAGTGCGGAGTGGCTGGTCAGGCAGAGGGCGTGTCACGTGCGAGGAGACATACTCACATACATACTAACATAATCACATAAATAAAGCGAAAAGGCAAAAGCCTTGCCCCGTTGCCCGGGCTCGTCTACACACTACACGCGGCAGGCGGCACACAGAGACAGACACATACGTCGATCGGCAGTCATCACATGATCATGATTCACGCTGAACGGCGCAAGTCTCCAACCCGCAACCGGCGCCGGCCCTCGTCGAGGCGAGGGGCGGCTAGCCGGGCACCACTCAGTCTCGCTCTCTCGCGCCGTCCACGCCCGGCCCCGGCGGCGCCTCGTCTCGTCTCCTCGACATCCCCCCCGGACTGGCGGTGTGCTCGGCTAGCTCATCTGCCAAGCCGGGGACGAAGCGGTCGAGGAGGCCCTGGTTGCAGGCGAGCCCGCCCAGAATGAGGGCTCCGCCCACCGCATCGCTCGGTCCGACGGGCGCGCCGAGCAGCGCCACCGCGACCCCGGTCGCCCAGAGAGGCTCCGAGGCGAGGATGACGGATGCGTCCGTCGAGGGGAGCTTGGCAAACACCTTTGCCGTGAGCCAGATCGTGAGCGACGTCGAGACGAGCCCGGTGTACGCGACCGCGGCGGGGACGCCCCACGCGGGAGCCCCTCCCGCGGTGGCGGCCAGAAGGTGCTCCCACGGCAAGGACCACGGCGCTGCTCCCGAGTCGACGGACGCGGCGGCGACGGCGGCGACGGCGATCACGACGCACTGGAGTGCGGCGATGGGGAGTTCGTCGTCGGGGTGGTCGGCCATCGCCTCTTCGAGGACGACGTACGACAGGCCGAAGCCGACCGGCTGGCCGAGCGCGATCAGGTCGCCCACGCAAAAGGCGGCGCCGCCGCCGCTGAGGGCAGAGGGAAGCTCGAGGCACGCGACACCCGCGACCGAGAGGGCGACGGCGAGCCAGGTGGCTCGGGCGACGCCGGCGCCGCTTCGCGCCGCCATCAGCGCCACCACGACGGACTGCAGGCTGCAGATGAAGGCGGCGGTCCCTGGCGGGTCGTGGGCGGTGTGGGGATCAGGCGGAGGCAGGCGGGCAGGCGGGCGTGGGGCGGGCGTGCAGACTCGAAGGCTTCGGTGGCACTTGTGCACGCCAGAGGGCGCCTGGCTGGCGGTAGCCCGGCTCTAGTGCGCCGAGGGCAGTGGGAAGTGTCTCGGAAGTGTCCCCCGCACCTGGCTGCGTGCCCAGCGACAGCGCCGCCGCCTGCGAGGCGTAGCCGAGCGAGCAGAGGAGTCCCACCTGCACCCCCGCACCCACCGCGGCCGCGCTGGTGGCGCTGGCCAAGAAGGGAAGAAGCGCAACGGCTCCAACCACGAAGCGGGCCGCGACAAGCAGCTCGCCATCGGTGGACGCTCCTCCGAGCGCCTGCATGGACCAGGACGTCACCGCAAAGTTGGCGCCCCAGCACGCGGTGATGGCAACCATCGCCGCCTGCCACGGCCAGAGCGCCTCGTCCGCGGTAGGCTCCGCAAGAGCCACCGACACCAGGAGCGCCTCCTCCAGCGAGAGCCTCAACGCCGCCGCCTCGGCGTCGGTGCCATGGAACTTCTCGGAGGCGCGTTGCGCAGCCTCCAGCATCCGCTCCTCGGCCCGCGCCCGCTGCGGTGCCGAGCCGAGCGCTCCGTTGAGCTCCCGCTGCGCCAGCGCGCTGCCCACGAAAAAGGGACCCCGGTGCGGCTGGATGAGCCGCGCCGTCGACAAAGCGCCAGACGGCCCGCCGGTATTCCCGCGAACGAGCGAGGAGTCGGGCAGTCGCGGGCGGCCGAGCGCGAGGAGCGCGGCCGTGAGGAGGTGAGAGGGCATATGCGTGTAGGTGAGCGGGCAAGGGCGGAGGGAAGGAACGCGGCCGACTTTTTGCACGTTCGAGCTTAGTGCGCGATGTGCCGGCGTTGTTTTTCTTTGTAGGGAGGCGTAACTTGAGGTTGTGAAAAGGGTCGTTTGGTTATATCCGCATGTTACAATCGCGAGGACGCAATACATGGCACACATTGCGGAATTCGCACTCTACCCTCTCCGTCCGTGAATGAAACTAAGAAGATAGTGGCGATCTAACGAGGCCCATGGCGCAGTACACGGCGGTGCGCAGGTGGCGGCCTAAAGGGGCCGCGCGGCTCATCCAGGTGGGAAACCCGTCCTCGATCGGCGCAGTACGCGATGGCTCTGTGCCCCAGCAAAGAAGAAAAACCCTCTGGGGGCGGGGGCGCGGGGCCCCCGGAGGCACCGTGCGCCGCGCAGCAGTGCGGAAACGGGGCCCCGGCGCTCATACTCGCTCATACTACCGACTTCCCGAATAAGTACGGTTGAGTAGAGGGCAGATTTGGAGAGATCTCGAGGAGTACATACAGATAGATAGACCCTCCAACCATCAGAAAACTCCGACCTGATCGGTCGTACTGACCGCCGACAGATCACTCCAGACAGCAGACAGGCCGACGTCTGTACGCGGCCGGCCGGGCGAGAGGCTTGACACGATCCGACCCTGCGACCGTGACGCTGCTGGTCTATAGCTATCAGACATGCACTGCTGACTGCTGCCACAATGTGCGACCTGTGCTGGCCCACTTGGCGGCCTTCCCGGTCAGTGGTGAGGCGCAGTTCAGAGCTGTCGATGGCGCGATGCCGCACTGGTCCCACATTGGTGACACGAGACCACCAAGTTTGCCGGTCCAAGAGAGAGGCACCGGCGCTGTCCTGAGAAGGTGCGTGGTCCCTCTTGACTGCCCATGCGCGCGAGGCTGTGTAGGCATAGCCTCGAGAGTGCCAGCAGCCAATCCGAGGCAGTTTGTGACGCGCATTGCGTCAGAAGCGTGCACGCGCTGGAAGGACACCTTCTGGACACCTTCGGCCGTACTGGCCGTACGATCAGGTAGTCACTGAATGCTTGATACTAAGGCCGCGAGCTATGCGGGTGATCAATTGTGCAGCATGGCACGGTCAGCAGCGCCGACAGGCTGTCGCAAGGCGTGATAGCATGGCCGCAAGTACGAGAGAGAGATTTTTGTTTGTCAAGTACGCCGAATTCCCATGAAAACAAGTGAAAAATCGCGCAAAAAAAGAAACACTGTACACATCGGCGCCTGGCGCAGTGGCGTCGGACGGAGTTGCCGGCCTCCAGCAGCGGGACAGAGGGAAAACAGGGGTCGCACGTTTCCGCCGTAAACCTGTTTAGTTTACCTCTTTCTTGCTTGCAGGCTCACTCAGCGATTGTCGCGGCCATACAACGCGTGCTACGCAGTCCAGACCTATGCCGACGGAGGGTAAGTGCGAAAATGCGGGACAAAACCCGGCCGTGCTGTTCATGAAGGGCTTGGCTTACCCGTGGTTGTGGGTCGGCAAGCAGGTTCACGTCGTGAAGCAGGAGACCATCGACGAATTCTACTCGCCCACCTGGGGTCTTCCGGGCTCCAGCGTTCCGGGCTCCAGCGCCTCCAACAAGGGCATTGACGTCGGGTCCGAGTAGGAGACTCTGTGGGCGCCGGTTACTTGTTATACATTGCACCACGTGCGCCTCCCCGAACCGCCCCACCACCGCCGATCCTACCCGTGCTTTCGCTCTACATCTTCACCCGTTGCCCCCCCCCCCCCCCAAAAACACACACACCACCACCGCGACCGGAGGAACGCGGACGCTCTTTCTCATCCATCTGCATCTCCAACCCGCGTGTACAGTTTACCTGTTCCAGTCTCCAACGTTCTGAGTACTGAGACGCGACACGAGGCAGAGGCTGCGGCGCTGCGCCCAAATCTGTCACGTAACCACGTCGGAGTCGGCAATCGAATCTTCAAAACTCTCCCCATACACACCGTACCACACACCTACGCTCTACTTGGTACTTCGCCGCGCGGGCGCGCCCGCCCGCAGCCTGTAATGCTCGGCCTCCACGTGCGGGTCCGCCTTCGGCCGAATCGGCACGCACATGCGGCGGCCCGGTAGCAGCTTGGTGGCCGCGGCGTCCGCACACGTGTCGCTCACTCTCGCGACACCGTGCACGATGCGCTCCACGTTGAGGAGGAGCGCGTCGCCGTGTTGCAGCTTGACCGTCCGGACAGCGACGCCTGGCTGGAGCTCGTACGTGGCGTTGTGGCGACGGCCATCCAACATCGGCCGCCCCTTGAAGCGCGCCGGCGCCCACTGGAAGTCGACGTCGTTGCCAAAGCTCCATAGCACGACACGTGGGTCGAACGGGCTGGAGTTGCAGGCGGCGATGTCGTCTAGGTGCAGCCCGAGCCTCTCGCCCGGCGGATACACTAGCGCGCCGCCGGTGCTCGTGTACTCGCGCTCGTCAGCCAGCGCCGCAACCTCGTCGGCCGCCGCCGCGTGCCCACTACCGCGCAACTGCACGGCGCTCGCGCGCAGTGCCATCCGCGTCTCGCCATGCAGCAAGGTCGTGGCGGCCCCGCTCTCGTCGACCCAGATGGCGCCTTTGCCGCTGGCGCGGACTTGCTCCAAGTGCTGCGCGGCAGTCGTGAGCAGCTGCGCCACCACCAACTGCGAGGCGGCGGCGAGAGCCTTGCGGATCAGGATCACGTTTTCCCCGGGCGATGCGTGCAGGACCTCGACCTGGAGTGTGGGCGGCGGCAGCAGACGCGGCACGGCAGCCGGGCTTGTGCAGAGTGTCGACGACGCCACGAAGCCGTTCTCCCTCCAGCGCTTGAAGCGCAGCGGCGGGGCCGCCGCGGGAGCAGGTGCGCAGCCCATCCACGAGCTGCTTGCGCCGCTTGCTGGTGCGTCCGGCGCTGCATTTTCCCCGGCCCCGTGCTTGCGCTTGTTCGTTGGCGGCGCGCTGCGCTGCACGCGCCGCGTCTTGGTCGAATCCGTTGACGAGATCTGCTTCATGTCAGCGAACATGATGATGTACGGGTGCGAGCGCACAGTTATGGACACCGATGGTTCCTGCCGCATGTAGGCGCCCTCGATGATGCGCGAGACGTCGGCGTCGTAGCGACTGAAGGCGCGACTCAGTTCCACGGCCCAGGACGCGTCGGTGTCGGAGTCGGGCATCGGCGCGGTGTGGACCAGTCACTGCGCGGGCCGGCGACCCACCCGACGAGCGGCCCCCGACACAAAAGTACCTTCCCGTGTGTTATGGTGTCGGGGCGCGGAGGGCTCGCGCTCGCGCGCGCGCGCGTTCGAGCGAGTGAGCGAGCACACACACACACACACACACACACACACACACACACACACACACACACACACACACACACACACACACACACTCCTACCTCCCCAGAAATCCCGAGGAGGCGCACAGCGCCTAGATATGTCTTGTGTTGCTGTGTGCTGCACGCCCTGCGAGCGGGGCGGGGTGCGCACTGTCCCTCTGTGTTCGTTCGTGTGCGTCGCCCATTCTCTCCCTGGAGATGACTGCTCTATTATTTATTTATGGCTTGTTGGCGAGCCAAAATGGTGTTTCCCGAGGCGCTGCGCTAGGCTCAGAGCGAGTTCGCGCTGCGCTAGGCTCAGACGGCGAGTTCGCGCTGGCCGCTGCGCTAGGCTCACAGACGGCGAGCGGGAGTGCGCTGCGATAGCGAGGGAGGGCGAGACGATCGAGTGGTCCCGTACCATGCGGAATCGACCCTATGGAGGCTATTCTGGGCGTCCACACGGCTTGCACCGGTGACCCTCGCGACAAAGCGAGCGCGTCCGGCAGAGCGACTGAAGAATCGAGGACAGAGTCACAAATCCCGCTTGTTGTGCATGTTTTGAGGTCGGACAGTGCTGCTGTCTTCTCCACGCAGCAGCCGACGCCACCAGGCCTCGGTAGCTGAGCAGCAGGAGCCTCCTCGCTGCTGGCAGAGTTGCGCCTCTGTTTGCCGCCGCTAAGAGATCGCTGTTGCGGGAATCCAGGGAATCTAAAGGAATCTAGAATCTGTGGGTCCGAGATTCGATCTGGGACCTGAGCCGCTCGGGACCAGCTGCACATGACCCGGGGCCACTGCCATGTCGCAGACGACTGCTGGATCGGCCGTCGCCGCAACCAGCCGTCCTGCACTGAGCCCTGGTCTGACAGCCTGACAGCAAGCCCCGGACAGCGCCTGACAGTGCCCGACAGCCTGACAGCGCTGACAGTACTTTCTCTGACAGTAAGACAGCACGTATCTGACAGCCTGACAGCAGAGTCTGACAGGCGAGGTGCTCCGTCGCTGTCAGGCCCTAACGTGACAGCCTGACAGCTGCCTGACAGGCTGACAGCCCGACAGCACACAGTGGCCTGACAGCAGCTCTGACAGCCCGACAGCAGCACAGACGCACCGTCCTACACAGTCAGACCCCGTAGAGCCTCTTTCTTGTGCCCCATGAGGGTATAACAAAACTATTACATGCAAAGACATGTGAGTGTGGTCCATGTAGTCATGGGATGGTCATGGGTCTCTCTCTCAACCCTCCCTCCCCACCGCTCTGCGGACCCCTCTCTAGCACCGGCGGCTGTGCTACTACAAATGAAGCTACCACAGCTAGCCTTCTGGGGCCCTACAGTCATATGCCTAGGGCGTCTGGGTGGGGGTGGCCGCCGCCGTCTGTGCCGCCGCCGCCGCCTGCGCCTGCGCCGCCATCTGCGCTCCCCAGGCGGCGGCCGCCGCCGGCGTGATCACGCCGTAGGAGGGGGGCAGCTGGGTAGCCGCCGCCGGCGTCATCAGCGTCAGCGCCCCCGCCACCGCCCGGCTCCTCTTGATAGTGTCATAAGTGTGGCTGGTGTGTTCAGGCTCTGACAGCACCCCGACAGCGGACCACCCGACAGCACCTGACAGCAACAGCCCAACGTCTGACAGCAGCAGCAGCCTGACAGCTCTGACAGCTCCGACAGCGTCTGACAGCAACACCCGACAGCTCCGACAGCACCCGACAGCTACAGAGCACCTCGCCTGTCAGACACGCACCCGACAGCACCCGACAGCACTGACAGCACCTGACAGCTGGTCTGACAGAGGCACCTGACAGTGCCTGACAGCTGCCCGACAGCCCGACAGATCACCCGACAGCGAGTTTGTGACCAGGTCGAAGGCGGCGTCAGCGTACGGTAGCTGCGGGTCCTTGTTGAGGTCCTGAACGCGCCACTCCGTCTTGCTCGGGTTGGCGAGAAGCTCGAGTGGGTTGAGGCCGAGAGCGACGCAGCGGCGAGGCGGCGAGGGCCTCCAACCCGATGGGTAGTGCGACGTCCACGACGGGCAGAGGTCGAGCACGTCGCCGTCGGAAAGAAAGAAGCGTGTGAGCGAGTCGCGGCACTCCTCGCCGGCGTGTTGAACAAACTTGGGCAAGAAGTAGAAGAAGCCGTCGTTGCCGGCCATCATCGGGGTGAGATCCTTTGCCGTGTACGGAAAGGCTTCGGGCCAGTCTGCGCAGCTGCGCCTCCTCCGCCTCCCTCCTTTGCCCCGATCGTCGTTCCGCCCTCCACCTTCTCCGCCGACATGGCGAAGACGTGGGGCGACGCCTCCCTCCCAGAGGGGAAAGTCACCTTCCTGGTCGGCGACGACGAGGAGCGCATCGAGCACGTGAGCAAGTGCAACCTCTGCGCCCGGTCCCCGGTCTTTCGGACCATGTTTGGCATCGGCATGAAGGAGCGCGACGCCGCCGAGGTCACGGTGTCCCACACCGACCTCGCCAGCTTCACTGCCCTTGTCCGCTACCTCCTCACCGACCAGTTCGACCTCGGCGCGAGGAGGAGGGCAGGGCGCAGCGCGCGCTCGACCTGCGGGAGCTGGCGCAGATGTTAGTACCAGGTGCCGCGCCTCGAGCTGCTCTGCGCGCAGGCGCTGCAGGAGAGCGTCGCGCCGGCGACCGCCGTGCCGCTGCTCGAGGCGGCGCACGCGACGGGCGACGGGCGGCTCCTCGCGCAGTGCCGCCGTTTCGTGGGAGACCACGCCGCCGACTCCTCGAGCTGGGGCGGGCTGCGGAGGGCGCCGAGATGCTCCGCCGGGCCGCCGAGGGCGGCGACGAGAGCGCGGCCGCGAAGCAAAGCAAAGGCGCGGGAGGAGGAGGCGCTCTTCAAGCTGCGGGCGCTGGCGAGCGGCGGCGACTCGCGAGCGCGCGCCGTGCTCGAGCAGCACGAGGCGGAGCGCGCGGCGGTGACTGCTCGGGCCGGCGCTTGATCCGATCACTGCGAGGTGTGGACCCAGCTGTGTGGACCCAACCCCCAGTGAACAACCGTGAGGTCGCGTAGGATCTCCTTCCTTGTCTTCTCCTGCATCTAGTCGCATGCTCGTGGCGTGTTCCGCCCGCCTTGATCATTCATGGCGTCCTCCCCGAGGTGCAATCGGTTGTGCCTGTGAACGCGGGCGTGTGTCCGCGCTTTTTTCTTACCAATTCACTATATTGCACAACGACATAGAACTTTAGAACCGTACCACTACCAGGTCCAGCCGCTTCGATTGCTGAAGCTGATGCTGTTGCTCGCTCGTGCGGGTCGTGGTACGTGGGTCAACTCGTGCGCCAGGCTCGTGCATTTTGCTCTCCGACTCCCGCCACGCGCGCCCCTGGCGCCTGAGGCCTCCCCAGTCAGCCAGTGTTCCACATCCGTCCTGGCTCCTAGCCTCCCGCACTAAACTACTCGAGTATGATTGACAATGTTGAAGGAATGCGTCACCTCGCTCGACCCCCTCAGATCAAGGCTTGCAAGACGAGAGAGGGCGACAGCTCGCAGGCCGACTCGCCCTCTCGACTCTCTGCGCGGCACAGGCGCCTCTAGCGCTGGACACCCCCCGCTGGGCCCCCACTGGACAGTCACGCCTGAGCCAGGCCTGGGGTGCGGTGGGGTTTACGCCACTGCCAATGCCTGCGGACCTGCCACGGCGTCGCCACAGCCTTGGCATCCAGGGACCGTCGGTTGGACCGGCACCGGCACCCATTTGCACCACCCAGCACAGTCGCCAGCCTGTTTCTCTGCTCCGTCGCAGGCCTCGCATTCCGGCACAAGTGGCTGCACTGGCACCGGCACCCACTGGCACCAATTTGCACAGCGGCCATCTGGATACATCTCTTCCCCATCGAGGCCGCGTTTGGTGCTCTGCTCACTGCAGCCGGCACAGAGCGGCACCAGAGGCTGGACAGGGACTGGGATCCACTTGCACCAGGGCTCACACGTTCCATTGTTCGCGCCGGGCGAGGTGAGGAGGAGCGCGGGTAGCATAGTGAGCATGCTATGTCCTTTGGAGTCCTTCCCCTCGGCGCTTACCTAGGTATCTTAGGGGCGTGCAACACGCAAAAGGACGTAAGGGGTAAGATAGTGAAACTCGGCGGCAAAAACAAAGCTCAAAGAATTTGAAGACGAAACTACCTGGAGAAAGAATTTCATCCATAAAATAAAGCCTTTTGCACAAAGTGCGCACGGAGCCTCATGAGACCCTTCCGATTCGCTGTCGCGTCTGGCGGGGCACCAGCCCGCCACACGCGGCGTTCCCTCCAGAGTGCCTCGGTGCTTGTGGTGGCGCACAAAGGCGTGGTACTCGTGCGCCACTCTGCGGAGCATGCCGTCCTTCATCAGCCGCTCGAGCTCGGGGTGGGTGTGGCGTAAGCCCGCCCAGGTCTCCTCTGAGATGAGGAGCGAGGCTGTGCCGCTCTCCCGCCGACACAGTGACGACGCGCTGGCCAGCAAGGGTCTCGATCTTCTTGGGCAGCAGCTGGCCCTGCCAGTCGCCGTGGCCCAGCTGGCCAAAGGCTCCCAAGCCCCAGCTCCAGACGGCGCCGTCGGCGGTGAGGGCGAGGCTGTGGTGCTCACCAGCCGAGACTGCGATGACGCGCTGGTCCGCAAAGGCCTCGATCTTCTTGGGCAGCAGCTGGCACTGCTCATCGCCGTGGCCCAGCTTGCCAAAGGCTCCATTGCCCCAGCTCCAGACACTGCCGTCGGCGGTGAGGGCGAGGCTGTGCATAAGTCCAGCCGACACAGCGACGACGCGCTGGCCAGCCAGCGCCTCTACTTTCTTCGGCAGCAGCTGCTTCTGCTCATCGTCGCCGTGGCCCAGCTGGCCAAAGCCTCCATAGCCCCAACTCCAAACGCTGCCGTCGGTGGTGAGGGCGAGGCTGTGCTGTGCTCCAGCCGACACAGCGACGACGCGCTGGCCATCAAAGGCCTCGACCTTCTTCGGCAGCAGCTGCTGCTGCTCGTTGCCGTGGCCCAGCATGCCGCGGCTTCCAAAGCCCCAGCTCCAGACGCTGCCGCCGGCGGTGAGGGCAAGGCTGTGGCAGCCTCCAGCCGACACGCTCACGGCGCGCTCACCGCCCAGCGGGGAAGGGAGGCGGGTCGGCGTGTTGAGCCGCGTCACGCCCTCGCCGTGGCCAAGGATGCCTGGGAACTGAAGCGGCGCACAGCCGCACGACGAGAGCCGCCCCTCGCTGTCGATGAAGAGGCTGTGGTAGCGGTCTGCCGCCGCCCTCACCGGCGGGTTGGCCTCGCACAGCAGCGCAGCGAAGCACAGCCACCGGACGGCGCAGCTCTCGCCCTCTGGCTGCGCCGGCAGCTCGAAGCCGCTCTCTTGCGCCCACAAGCGGATGCCCTCTAGCGCGAGCGAGGCGTGAAAGAGCAGCGAGACGGCCGCGACGCGAGCGATGTCGGCGGGGTCGCAGCGGGAGATGACGCGCGCGAGAAGCTCGAGGGGCAGGTCGGTGAGGGGGCAGCGTGCGGCGGCGGCGGCGGCGGCGGCGAGGCGGCGTGAGCGGCGCAGCGGGCCTGACATCGCGAGAAAAAGAAACCGGGCCCGCGCATTGTGAGTGGGCTTTTCGTGCCTGCGGTTGTGGTGTTGAGTCCGGTGTGTAGGAAGAGGTGCATGCCGGCAGAGGACGAGAATCCCAAGGCGGCTGGCAATATCAGCGACCCAAAGGATGCAGCGGTGACGTCGGCCAGTGCTTCTGCGGCGTCGCCAGCTACCTCGTCACCAACACGCGCTGCGACGGGGCGCTCGCTTTCGGCCTCCTCTGCCGGTGCATGGCCAAGCCCACCGACGATGTTTTTGAGGAGATGTTCTGCTTCCTCGAGTACTTCCGCTACCATCCCCACATCGGCCTCACCTACGAGCCGGGCTGGGATGGCGAGCGGGAGGGCGACGACCTTGTCGCCATGAGCGACGCCAGTTGGGAGACGCGCCGGTCCACATCCGGGTGGATCGTCCTCATGTGGCAGGCCACCGTACACTGGCGCAGCGTCCAACAGCCCTCCATTGCGCTCTCCTCTTGCCAGTCCGAGATCATGGCTGCTTCTGAGGCTACCAAGGACGTCCTGAGCTACCGTCGCCTTAAGGCCGAGCTCGAGTCGTACGTCAAGGACGGCGAGATCGTCACCCCTCCCGAGGCCCCGCCCACCAAGCAGTACTGTGACAACCAGGCCGCCATTGCCTCAGCCTACAACCCCGAGAACCACGGCAGGCTCAAGCACGTCGAGCGGCGCCACTTCTTCATCCGCGAGGCCATCGAGGAAGCCAAGATCTGTGTTCCTTTCGTCCGCAGCGACGAGAACCTTGCCGACTTCTTCACGAAGCCGCTCAAACCCCAACGCTTCTTCGAGCTGCGGGACAAGATCATGAATGTCAAGGAGCCTTCCTCCCAGTCGGATGGGAAGTGAATCTCCGTCACCGATCCGTCACCGAGACGGAGCGCGGGCGCCGGCGCGAGCGCGAACAGTGCCGCCCCGCCCCCACCAGCGAGAGCCATAGACTCTCCAGTGCATGTCATCCAGTCCATGCCCCGTCGAGAGGGACACTCTCCTCTCTATCCATGTGAGTGACTCGACTACGTCGAGGGGGGGGACGTCTGAACCACACGTGTCCCTCCATTCACACTCTCCCAGTCCTTCCTGGTCTAGTGCCCGTCTTCTCCGCCCGTCGTGCTGAGTTGGGCTTTCTTCGTCCTTCAGACGTTTCACCTAGAGCAAGCAGGGCGGAACGCCCCTTGGTCCACCCGCCGCCCGGGTGGGGCTTGCACGCATAACGCAGGACGCACATCTCACCATACAAGAAGGGGAGAAGGAAGAGGAGAGACACCCGCGGGTGAGGACGAAGCAGAAACTAGCGCAGACGAGAGCAGGGCAGACCCGGGACTGGGGAGCCGGAGCAGACGGCATCGACCGCCGAGGGAACGTTGGGAAGAGGCACGAGGAGGGCGGCGACCTCAACCGACTATGGAGGACCCGTCGCCAGCGCGACGCAGGGCAGAAGACGGTGAGGCGGAGCAGACGCGCAGGGCGAGACGAGGGAGGGAGCAGGACTTTGCGGAGATCAGCAGGAGGATGTACGAAGAGATTAGGAGCAGCAGGGATCCGAGGGACCATGTGGAAGACGGCTAGTGCTAGTCCCCCATCGGGAAGACGACCCCGGCTAGTCGCCGACCACACCCACAAAGAACCCTGCACAAAGATCGCAAGGGCGGGGACCTGTTCCTTTTTACCCATCTCACAGCAGAGAGGTGTCCGTTTTTATTTATTTATTTATAAGTTATTGAACCGCGCCCGGGTGGCGGCATTCGCGTCGCGCGCCGCCTCCGCACGCCGCTCCGCGCCGCCCGGCCGCTTCCAGCGAGCCTCGCGTGGAGCTGCGGATGCGAGCGAGGCCTCTCCACCTCCTCCAGCCCCTGGCCGCGGCGGAGCGGCGAGGGCGGGATCGCTTCGCACGCGGGGGAGGAGGCGACACCTCCGCGGGCTGGCGCTGGCGCCGCCTGCCCCTCTGCGGCCGCTTATCTGTGGCACCCCGCGGCGCGCTCGGGATCGAGCGGAGATGACATCAAGAGATAAATAAATAAAAACGGTCAAACTCTGAGACGAGATGGGATTTAGGGACATGTGTCCCCGCCCTGCACGATCTTGGTGTGAGGGATCTTCAATCCGTCCCCTCACCCCTGGTCACTCCCCGACACTAGAAGAGCAGCAAGAGTTGGCCGGCAACCGTGTCGGCGCTGCTCGGGAGGCAATGGATGGCTTCCTAAAGACAGTAGGACACGTTTTTTTCCATTTTTTACAACGAAACGAACAGATTGCGAAATCAGTGCATGGAGAGCGTGTCGTCGCCGCCAAATGAGAGCGTCGTCGCAGAGAGCGTGCCAGTGTTCCCGGCCTTCACCAAAATCCTCGCCATCATGGACGACAGCGTCTTCTCTCCCTCCCACCGCCCTCCTCCGCCCAGCGTGTGGGAGGCGGCCCGTTTCAAGGCTGCGTCCAAGCGGAACCAGATCGCAAAGCTCGCCCGCCACATCGAATGCGAGCGCCTCCGCTTCCGCCGCTCGCCCCCAGGGGCGCTTGAAGAGGCGGCGAGCCCACCACGCAAGGCCTCACCACCACCACCTGGAGGCGTCTGGGCGGACGCAAAGCGGCGCAAGCCGTGGGTTCGGCCTCTCGAGGCCTCGCATCCTTTGCCTCGCGGCCGCTGGGCCTGTGGCACTCCCCTCGCCGAGCGGCTGGCCGAGTCGGAGGCGGCGGCGTTCGAGAAGCTGCAAGGGGAGTGCCTGCAGCTCGAGCGCGCGGACGTCTGGTACTCTGCCTTCTCGGCGTGCCAGGTTTGCAGCGGGCGGATCTTCTCTGCCTCTTCCGACCCGGTAACGCTCCAGTTCGGTGTGGCCGCGCCGCTAGCCACAATGAGGAGGAGGAGGCGAGGTGAGTTGACTCTTGCGTGCAGGCGTGTGCGGGTGTGTTGTGGCCTTTGAGATGGAGCTGCAGGCGTGGACCCCACCCGCCACCCAACATCTTAAGACTCCCGACGACCACTCTGCCCACTCACCCTGCCTGTGACTGTGTCCTGCCTCAGGCGGCGACGGTCGCGCCGCCGACGCTCGCGCCCGACCCGGCGGTCCTGCTGGCCAAGAAGGCCCTCAAGGCGCAGAACTGAGCCGAGATGAGCCGAGACGCTAGCCGAGATGCTAGAACCGAGATTTGCCGAGATGCAGACGGCCTCACAGCCGCGCCAGGAGCTCGACCTGCTGACCGTCGCCATGACCGCCGCGCCCCTCCTCCACTCGATCCTCTCCGCCGCCACGCCGCCCGCCCGGCGCAAGGGCAACAACCAGAGGCGACCTCCAGCCCCGCAGCCAAGACGGCGTCGAGCGCGGCGCGGCATGCCCCGTGAAGCGTGACAGGATTGCTCGCTCTAGGCGGGAGCTGGCGTACCTCAGCCGCGAGGCGATGAAGGGCTGCGGAGCGCGCCGCGGGGCGACGTGCCGCGCGGCGCACCGCCAGTCAAACAAGGCCCGCCGCTTGCGCTAGGCCACAGGGGCTGCTGCCGGCCTGTGCTCTCCCCTCCGGCAGCGCATCCGCGCTCCGGGGGCGGTGGCGTCGCATGCGCATGAGCAGCACGGGCGAGGTGTCGCGCGGATAGAGGCCGATGCAACATGCACACCCATTTCTGTGCGGGGGGAGGCTAGTCGCTCCTCCGCCGCGGACGGTGAAACTAGATGCAGCTCGCAGGGAAAGAGGAATCAATGCACGATGGTTTGAGTTGGGGGGCCCTCCACCGCTCCACGTCCACCGCTGGTGTGCGCATGTCTGTCGGGCGGGAGGGAGGGGGGGGGGGGGGGGGCTGAATGTGCTTTGATGCTCACGCGATTTTTTCTTTTGCCTTTTGGGTGGCGGGTGGCGGGTGGCGCTGGCGGGTGGGCAAAATTCTTTTGTAGTTGGGCAACAAAATATGGAATATTTCATGTTCATGTGTGAGCGAGAGTTTTACACTACACATGAGCACTAAAGGCTTGGAAGATTAGCCTACATGTATTGATTGATCACACTACTGTGTAACGACGAAGAGATGTCAGACCGCGCAGCAGAGCCAGGACCGAGCGAGCAACCACCCGAGACGCCCCCCCCGAACGACGACAACCAGGCGGACGACGAATTTACAGTGATGGACGTAGACGAGGAACAGCCAGAGCACGAGGCGTCCCAGCCGCCGAGGAAGCGGGGGCGATTTGAGAACGAACGTAGCGATTCGACGAGTCAGGGGGAAGGGGCGAGCAAGCAACAGGAAGAGGATCCGACGACACAGCATAAAAGAAGAGCGGGCAAGGAGGAAACAGAAGGCGGGCACAAAGAGCAAAGGAACATACAGTCTAGTGCGAGGGCAAGGGCGGGCAGTCTCAGTGACTGCAGTCGTGCCGTAAGGCCGACTCCGCCCAGTGCCGATGCGAGGTGTTTCCCCAGCAGCGCCCGCGCATATGTCTTATATGTACGCGAGCCGGTGCTCTTTTACCTCTCTCTCTCTCTCTCTGACTGTGTACTTCGTACGGTACATGCCCCGCGCACGAGCCGGCGCGTGCTAGCTCGAGCCGCCCTCCCCCCTCGCGGCGGGGCCCCGGCGAGACGCGGGCACGGCCCCCCTCCGCAGCATCCACCTCAAAGGGGGCTGTGTGAGCGGCCACAACAGCCGGCGCACTGGCGGCGTCGACAGCAGCGCGCAGACGGCGAGCGACGCGGGGAGGACGGCGCTCACCACCGCGCCGTCGTCGGCAGGGGACCAGACGTTGACCTAAAGGAGGAGCCGCGATTCAGGAAGAGGGAGGGAGCGGTGAAGAGCGCAGGGCCAGAGCAGAGTTGCCTCGCGCCCGCTGAGGGCGGAGAGCCGCTCGAAGACGGCGCGCATGACGTACCTCGATTCGGTGCACGAAGGAATGAGGGGGGTCTTGGGCGCAAGTCTTGGGCAAGCTCGCTGAAGCTCGGGCAATCTCGGCGAGTCTCGCGAATCGGGGGCAAGCTTGCGCACGGGTTGGTGATGAGCAGCGGGTGGAGCAGGTAGATGAACATTGACATGTGGCCCGGGTGCGACCACCACCCGGCGGCGCGGGGCAGCACGGAGAAGAATCCCGCCTGCTCGCCGCAGCAACGCGAGGGTGCGGGAGGGGCTCTCCCTGTTGCTGTGGCTCTCTCCGCCCCCCGACTTCGCCGACACTAAGCCGCGCCATCAGCGGGGCGGAGATATGGGGAGATATGGGGAGATACGGGGAGATACGCGCCATCAGCGGGGCGGAGGCGGCGTAGAAGGCTGCGCGCTGTCCGGCGGCGCGCAGCGTGGCGCAGCCTCCGCGCCGCCTCGCCGCGTCGGGCGCGAAGCCGTTGAAGCAGTCGTACCTGCACAGACAGAGTGGCTCAAAGTAGGAAGTGTCTAGGAAGTGTCGTGCCGTTGAAGCAGTCGTACCTGTGTCCACAGGTGCCGCCGTGAAGAGACGCCGTTCACGGCCCGGCGGCTCGAGGAGAGACGAGGCAGCCGCGCGTCTCGCTCACGCCGGCGAAGGCGTCGGCAAAGGTGACTCCGCCGAAGCCGCGCTCGCCGCGGCGGGCGAGGGCGACCGTGCCGGCGGAGGCGGCGACGAGGAAGGAGGCGCAGCCGAGCCTGACTGAGTATGACTCACTGGTGACTGAATACGAATGGACCAGGCGAGGCGAGGAGGCGCAGCCGAGCCGCAGCGACGGTCGGGCTGCGGTCGACCTGTGAGCGAGATCACGGGCAGGCTCGGCTTAGCCTCTGCCGAACCACGGGAGGCGGGGGTCTGCTCTCCTCCCCCCCTCCTCCCCTCTCCGCCCCCTCTCCTCTCGCCTCTCCCCACCTCTCCTCTCCTCTCCTCTCCTCTGCTTCCTCGCCTCTGCTCGCCTCGCCTCTCCTCTCTACTCCCCTCGAGCCTCCTCTCCTCTCTCCCCATGCCCTCCCTCCCCGCCCCCCCTCGCCACGTCCCGCCGTCCTCTCGGCTACTCGGCCCGCCAGCACGACGGAGGCAGCAAGTGGCCTGCCAAGAAGTATGGCAGAAAAGAGAGCCAGTTCTGGTAGTTTGTGCCGAGGTCGACAAAGAGGGCGCCTGGCCGTCAGATGAGCCGAGGCGCACCGAGATGAGCCGAGATTGTGCCGAGGTCGCAGCTCAGCTCATCTCCATCTCGGCCAATCTCGGCCCATCTCGGCGCCGTGGGCGAAGAGCAGCGCGGTGAGGGCGGGCGCGCGCAGCTTGGCGACGGCGGGCAGCAGGAGGCGCCTGTTCAAATCTCTAGCTGTGAAGAGCCGCTGTTCACGGCAGCGCGGCCGACGGCGGGCAGCAGGAGGCGCCTAGCCAAAGGTGAGCCGGGGTGAGCCGGGGTGAGCCGAGGTGAGCGCAGCCGAGCGGCGGCAGGGAGGTGAGCGGCGCCAGAAGGCGGGGAGGTACGGGGAGATATGGGGAGATATGGGGAGGTATCGGGAGATATGGGGAGGTTTGGGGAGATGTGGGGAGGTTGCGGGGGTTGCGGCGCCAGAAGGCGAGAGCGAGGAGGAACCAGGTCACCACCTGCGCCTGTGAGGGATGGGGAGATATGGGGAGATATGGGGAGATATGGGGAGGTATGGGAGGAGGAACCAGGTCACCACCTGCGCCTGTGAGGGATGGGACTCTCCCTGACACTCGCCGTTCCCTCGCTGCACCAGGGCGAGCCTTGGGT